AAGTCACCGTGAAGTTTTCTGGAGCAGTCTCAGAATGAGATATTGGCCCACCTCCCTGACCAATCTTACACCATCCACCCATTTTCTTCCACTTATCCAATTCATGATCACAAAGACAGGCTAGAGCTTATCTCAGCTAGCATAGCATGGGGAGGGGGGGGGGTTACCCTGGACGGGTTGCCAGTCTATTGCACAGCATTCGCACCTATGAGCAATTTACTAATTTACCACTCACCAAATACCAATTAACCTAACCCCACTATTTGGGTGTCTTTGGACCTGGAGACAACCCATGCAGACATGGGGAGAACATAGATATTCCACACAGAAAGATCTTCTTGCTGTGAGGCTGACCAGTGTCAATCTTGGATCAGTAAAATCAAATGCTGAATGCTGAGTATTGGCTGTTAATTTTTAAAGAGATACTCAAACCTAAGATGGCCCATTTTAACTGATGGCCCAGTTTACCAAGTTGACCCCACAGTGAGAAATTATTTGTTCTTCTTTACTTCCCACAATATCTGTCTGTCTGTCTGTCTGTCTATCCTTGCTGCTGTTTTCATTACACTTTTGATATAATGTGGCAGGGTGTGGTCTGCGCTGCCACCAGCTCTGCCACCAGCTCTGCCACCAGCTCTGCCACCATTTGGCCCAGCTCCTTCCCTGTCCTTGGTCCTTAGAGCGGACCGGTCCACATTTTTATACTTTTCAGCATACTTTATTCTTAAGTGCTGTTGTTGTTACAAATACTTGCCTGTAGCTTCCCAACTGCCAGCCACACACCAACAACAACGACAGCACAGGTTTTTATGGTGGCGAGACGTGATTGTAGATGCTGTGCAGGTGAGTCCATCTCCCCTGCAGCGGCACCACAGACCACGCCTCGCCACACGCCACAAAACAGTTCTATAGCCTGTTTTAGCAAAGCTGGGCAACTACCACATTTGGAAGTGAGATGTCCCTTTAATTATGGAGTTGTTTAACCAACTGAATTCTTAGAGGAAACACAAATATTCCCTCATATTAAATTTTATTATGTATCTCTTCATTCATGACATTCAAAATATTACTTCAGCACTGATAGATCCCAGTGACAGGTTTCCAAAGAAGAACCACAACACAGCCTCAGAGGGTTTTTCACTTCCATTCAGTCAGAGGTGTCCTTCTCTTATTGTGTGCTTCATCGTGTCATGTGAGAAAAGAGGAAAAGAGACAAACTATGCCTGGCTTTAAACAGTTTCTAGCGTGCGCGCACACATACACACACACACGCACACACACACACACAGAGGGACCTACATGTGTCTGGGTTGGCTATTTCCACTTCCCTGTGGATCTCTTACTGTCTTGATGTTTTATCTCAATAAAAGGCTTGTTTGCTTGCCCCCTTGGCCCCCAAATAAGCAGCCAAGAAGTGAAATGAAGATCTTTAGATATCTCATAACAGGTCAGTGATCTGAAAGATGAACTGATCTAATATCGAAATCGCAGGCCTTATCTGAGCAAACAAAAGTTTGAATCATTCGCTGTTTTCTGCTGTGTGGTGGTGTGTGTGAGTTATGGAGACTGAAGGAGATTATCCACCATAGCCATTCCTCTAAAGGGCATCAGACTATTTTTTTGTTGTCTACCAGAGCGAGCACACAATCAAAGCTTTATCGACTCTGTAGTTGTGAAAATTTCAAGGTGGCTTCAGTTACTGCTGCTATTGAAATAATGAAATATGAAAACGCAAGCGGTGGAAAAAAATTCCACTGCCTGCTTATTGTGATTAAACTTCTCTAAGGCTACTTACCACAAAGAACACTTAAAAGCTTATATCAAAGCAGATCGACCCACTTTACTTCATGGTAAGAATTAACTAGGTGCAGCATGAAGTGTAAGTGTGTGGTTTCTCACAGTTCTGTGACACAGTTATTTACAATGGTATTTGCATTAATGCCTGTAACTATGTACGAGGTTTGGTCTTCAGTTTTATCTGAAACCTGCCAGCCTTCACACACAGCTATAATGAAGCTTTGTGGCTGTATCATAAAAAAGAGAACATATCCCTCAGTGTCTGTGGGGATTTGAAGTAATACATCAGAGAACATGTCCTTCTGCTTCCTTTTAGCCATCTGCTAACTAACTAGTTGCTTCATCAAAGTAAGAAACTCTGTTCTCCCTTTCATCTAAAATTTATTTTGTCTGATGCATTTTTTTAAACATCCGATTTCTTAAAAACAACAACAACAACACCACCACAGTATTAGATTGAATCAGATTGGTTATCCTTTAATCTTTTAATTTACATTTTGTTGTATATGAATCTTGAAAGACTTTTTTTCTGATGGATAAATATTAAAAAGTTTCCTTTTTTTCATATCTTACAAAAGTAATTCCAAAGGTAAATAGAAAAGCCAAATAAAGTAAAGCTTGCAAGAAAGTAAACAAACTGATTCCAGACAGAAGTTTGTGACCTGCAGTAGTAATTGGATGCTAGTGTGAAGGTGGTGTGATCTTCATATTTTTATCATTTTTCCAGAATAGTTTGAAATTCTGGGACATCGTTATTTTAAAAGTACCACATTGAGCTTTTACACTAAGCAAACACAGGTTTGTTTATTCCTGAGAAAAGCCAATCATAACACTCGTATTTCAAACGTCCTTTGTTTGTATATTGTTATATTTCTTCCTATTTTCCTTTTGGCTGCTCTCTTTAGAGGTCGCCATCATCTACTTGCATCTCATCCTAACGCTAGCATCCTCTTCTGTCACACAAACTCTCTCCATCTCCTCCTTCACTTACATCCATGAACCTTCCCTGAGGTCCGTCCTCTTTCCCTTTTGTTCGACAGCTCCATATTCAACATCCTTTCTCCAATACTTTAAAACGACTAGCTCCAGCCTGCACATGTCCAAATCATCTCTAACTTTGTCTCCAAACTCCTCAACCTGAGCTGTCCCTTCGATGTATTCACATCTGTTTCTTCTGCTCACTTCCAATGAAAATCTGTCATCTGTCAACCTGTCCATCACCATTGCAAACAAGTAGGGCTGAGAGAACATCCCTGATGTAATTACGCCCCACCTTGAACCCGTCTGTCACTCTTACCACCGTTTAACAATCACAATAAAAGTATTTAAAACTTCCTTAGATGTTTCAAATTTGTGAAATGTGCACTTTGAGTTGTTACACTCTCTCGTTCTCTTTTATTTCACTGGAGTATTGACATTTTTATAGCATGACCTGCTGTTGATAGAGCTGTAACTGAACTGTGTGGCTGCATATATTACAATATCAACAACACCGGGGTCATGGCCTGTATATGAAAGAGAGCCACCTTGATGCTGCCCTCTAGTTTTAAATCCTTTTAAAGCCTGAATTATAAATATCAGTATGTTGGTCTTTTGATGCCCAAACTGATAATAGTTGTATGAGAGAGAGTGAAGTGCTAAGCTTAATTAGCAAGCCACAGACAGTATGGAGCCCCACAAAAAGTATATACTTATACAAAATGCAGTTATTAATTACTGAATAGTGGTAAGTGACATACTAGTGAAATACAAAAGTGTCACTAAACACAAGTGGGGCACAGACTCACTGGACAGGCTGTTAACACAGTTTTGCACAGTTAGTCACATCAGCTGCGTTAGAAATTCTCTAAAAAAAACACAAGATATCGAGCTCAGTGACTCAAATTCATAGATACTTTTTCATCCATCAGTAAGGACCTGCATGACCTCTGCTTATGTGCTTCTAAATTAAGATAAAACTAAACTCTTAGAAACATAATGTCTGGCCAGATACTTAATCTGGATGACAGTACCCTGGTCTCCAGTAACACTGTGAGGAATCTTGGCATTGTTTTCACCAGGATATGTCCTTCAGTGTGCATATCAAGCAAATATGTAGAAGTGCTTGCTGGACTCCTGTAATAGTACATATCTGCTTGTTTACTTGTGGTTCCTAAGGTATTTAAAAGTAGAATAGGAGGCAGAGCCTTCAGCTTTCAGGCCTCTCTTTTGTGGAACCAGCTCCCAGTTTGGATTTGGTAGACAGACATCCTCTCTACTTTTAAGATTATTTTAAATCTTAAAAGTAGTTTAGTTTAAAATGTTACATTTTGACAAAGCATATACTTGGACTCTGAATCCAGGGTCACCTGTCTGCTCTCGGCTGCTTTTTTTCATTCACCATACACACATCTGCATTAATTATTGGTTATTATTAATCTAAAGTTTTCTTACACACCATGTCTTTTGTCCAAATTCCTTTCCTTCATACCCAACAGCAGATGGCTGACTCTCCCTGGTTCTGCTGGAGGTTTCTTCTTCTAAAAGGCAGTTCGCTCTTCCCACTGTCAAATGCTTGCTCACGGGGATCCTTTGATTGTTGGGGTTTCTCTGTGTAATTGTAGGGTCTTTCCCTTGCAAAATAAAGTGCCTTAAGGCAACTGCTGTTGTGATTTGGTGCTATATAAATAAAACAATTAAAGGAGATGAAACACAGCTGAATGAAGCAATTACAGCTGGTGTTCGGTGTTCAGCACTTACCTCTTAATCAAAGTGACTATGTCACCAATGATTTTCCAGAACTTTTTGTGTGTTAAAAAAATACACCCTCAACACCCTTTGATATGCGATGAAGGTGTAAATTAGCTGCTGACACCAAAGTCTTTTTTTAAAGGCTGTAAAGTTGCATTTTAACACTGATGTCTTTGACTCACTTTTGGAAACAGCAGGCATTTCTGGATCTGCAGTTTTTGATATTTCCAACATGTTGTAATTTCTGAGCCTCTACTTATCCTTCCTGGGTGGAAGCCAGAGGGCTAAATCGTGTTTTTTTTTTCTTCCAAATATTAACATTTTACCATGTTTTGTAAGGATTGTGGGGCTAGGTGGACTGGAAATGTAAACAATATTGTGTTTTTGTGTTCAGACCACACAAAGGATTTTACAATACAAGCCACATTCACAACCCAAATGCTCGCCCACACACACATTCAGAACTTTATTGATTGCACTGTAAAACCTTTATTTGTCTCACACATCCATACCTACAGCTAATTTAGAATCACCAATCACCTAGCATGTCCGTCTTTGGAAGTAAGCCAATTTTGTTTTTTTGTTGATTTTTTGTAAACACACCATTCAAATGTTTTTTTTATTTACATACTGGTCTGGATAATTCTGAATTTGGTGAATGCAACCATGCACACAGAAAACCTTTACAATGCCCTTCATTATCACATCATACAATATGCAACTATGTGCTTAGCAAGTTACAAACAGAGCTTTATACCATATGAAGACACATTTTTGGACACTTTAAACAGCCTTGCACTACACAAGGTTTTGATCTGTGTACACGTTCTTTCCTTAAAAGTTGAAATATCAACCAGCTGAAATCCAATCAATATCTACGTATGAATTTACATAACATATAAATCACACAACAAATGGGATTGTTTAGAGTATGTACACACAACTACATTTACAATAATACAATTTGTGAAAACCTAAAAAGGTGTTGGTGTCATCATCTTTATAACTGCACTTAATATAACAAAGCACAAAGTGTATAATAAAAAGTAACTTTTCGGTTGACTCGAAAATCGTACAATGATTCTGTTTTACACGTTTCAAGTATCTGAAGAACATGATCGCAGAGTTTTACCAACCTCAACAGGCAATAACACGATAGAAAAGATGCTAAATATCTGAACTTTCTGCGACCAAGCAGGTCTTTGAAATGCTGTGGCAAGAAAAAGGACCTTTCAGACAAAGCTGTGCTATAGAACAGTAGCCGGTAATTAAAACGAAAAACAACTCACATTTGACCAGCAAAATTAGCGGTAAACTGACTTTTGGTGTTATGCTGTGGGCCTATATCAGATTGAAAGAAATCTGCATTAGAACCAATTCAATTTTGACAAATAAAATTTGTATTTTATGTACATTTTTTAAATCTCCAACCAAAAGAAATCTACCGCTTGTTTCTTCTTCTTTTTTTCTGATCAAAACAGTCACAAAATGCACCCCTGGCCACATGTTTTCACCATTAAGCAACTAAAAAAGCAATGGCTTGTGGTTAAAGGATCAAAGCAAAGCAAAAGCGGGCTCCCTAAATAAAGGAACAATCCTCTCTCCGGGAAGAAATGAAGTGAGCGTGGGCCTGTCAGCGGTGCGGCTGGAAGGCTGCCAGTGCTGTTAGGTGGAGGACATTTCCATGGTGAGTAGGTACATGCACACTTTAGAGTAATAAGGTGATGGAGTGAGATGGAAGCTGAGAGGACTGGGGATGTGCTGCTGGGATCCACCCACGAGAACAGGTTCGGTCCTTTTATTAACGGACAGCCGAGTGAGAGAAACCCACTGTTCTGCAGACGCATGATTTGGGGGGATTTTGTTTACACGACGGCTGAGGGGTTTAGGGAGGGATCTGTGAGTGCCCAGGCAGAGAGAGAGAGAGCGGGGATAGGGGGGGTCACAACAGAGTCCGTTCTCTTTGAGATGAGTTTCTCTCTTGTTTTCTTTCTGCCTCGCCCTGTTCTGTCAGTCAAAGTCTCCTCAGATTGTGCTCCTCTGTGCAGGAGCCTTTCCTCAAGGTTATGTCGTCCACGGCCATCTCTCCGCTCCTGCCTCGCCCGCGCTCCCCCTTCAGGATCACCTGATGAACAGCAGTAAAATGAGGCACACTGAGGTATTCTTACATAGGAACAGGAACATAAAGTATGAACATTAAATGATGTTAGATGTTTAAATATTTTTACTTTATGAGAGACTCATTATTTTTTTATATTTATTGTTATACTTACACTTTCCAGGCCTGTGCCCCATAATGTGATCTGGGTGTGTCTCCAGCCATTTCCACCTGTTCGACCCCAGACTGCTGGACTGTACTGCTTTCCCTTCTTCACAAACACTTGGAGCATTCCCACATGGTGACCTGCCAGCTTGTGCCGGAATGACAAGCACAGATTGCCGTCATTCCAGGGAGGGATAAGGGGGAGGACCAGCCGCGCTCCTCGTCCAGTCCTCTTGTTTCCTGCTTCGGGTATCGTTAGGTAGCGTCCACCTGCGGATGCAAGTCACAGATTTTAAGTCAGTGATGACATGGTAATCTAAATTTTCACAAAAAAAAAAAGAAGTAAAGACTGAGTTGTGTTGATAAGATTAAGCTGCATGAGCTTTCTGTGAGAAGGCTGTACTCTGAAACTACTTAATAAAATAATCAATGTTTGTGGCTTTGCCGTTTTTTTTCTAAATGTCATGTTGTTTATCACCTATATCACCATCAGTCTGTACACAGTGCAGAAAAATATATAAGCAAGAATCAGGGATTTGGTTTGAATGCACTTCAATTGAGCCAAACAAAGTTGAAAGACAGATCTGAGAGAAAATTTGTTGAAACAGACCAGAAGAACTAAAATGACCAAAAAAATGGACAAAACTCTCTTTCCTTTAGCTTTGTTTTTGGGATGCATGTGCATTTTTACTGCCACAGAAACTGGTTTCTATTTCACCATGTATACCATCACACATACCTGTCATTTAAAAACATTTTTATTGGCGTTATTTTCTAGAATCCCGATGCAAACTTCTGATGACAATGTTTCCCTAGTGGTTTCTAGAAAGCCACATTGTGTTTTCCTGTCACTTTATTGCTGTCACTTGAAGAATAGTAAAAAGAAATATACACACCAGCCAATTCAGTAGGTACACTTTTGAAACTGCTTGTTAACACAAATATCTAATCAACCAATCAATGGCAGTGACTCAGTGCTTTAAGGCATGTAGACATAGTCAATATGATCTGCTGAAGTTCAAACTGAGGATCAGAATCTGGGTCCAAGGACTTGCTTGTTAGGACTATATGATTAGCAAAGATCTCCTTCACATACTGCTACACTACGCTTGAAAGTGCATTATGGTTTTCTGATAAGGCTCCATCTGTCAACCAGTGGCTACAGTCTGTGATATGTATTGTGCCAATGGAAGCCTTCTCTACAGCACTTAAGGACAAACCTTTCCTTTTCTATCGCACATGGGACCCTTTTTTGGCCCATCTGGACACTCCTTCTGCTCAGAGGTTGAAATCGGGCTTACGGGATTTAGCCTGGCAACAAAGGGACAATTGTTAACCTTTTTCATTGTCTATTACTATTGCTGTTGGGTTTTTCTTTCTACCTCCCAGGTCCTGCTATACATGTAGATGCATCTTTGTCCTGTATATGTATATGCTGGTGACTGCTGTTTTCCTGCTTTGCAATTAAAAGTTCAATAATAAAAAAAACAATAAAAAAAAAACTGAGGATCAGAATGAGGAAGAAATGAGATTTAAGTGATTTTAAACGAGGCATTTTGTTGATGCCATATTTGCTGCTCTTGGCTGCATGTTATTTACTGTACTGGGATATTTCTCCACAACCATCTCTCGGGTTTACAGAGAATGGTCTGAATAAAATCAAAACACATGAGAGTGGCAGTTCTCTGTGTAAAGTAAAGCTCTATTGATGTCATAGATGACATGAGAATGGCCAGACTCAGACGGTATAGCAACTCAAGTCATATCAAAATAACGCAAAGGTCATCTCTGAACGCACAACATGTGGAACATTGAAGTAGATGTACTACAGGAAACCGAGGCTACAATTCCCAAGGGCTCATTCGAATTGGACAATAGAAGACTGGAAAAATGTCGCTTAACTCTCCATTTCTGCTGTGACATTTAGACCAGCGGTCCCCGACCCCCGGGCCTCGGACTGGTACCGGTCCGTGAGTCGTTTGGTACCGGGCCGCGAGAGTTGAGGCTCAGGTGTGAAATGTATAGTTTTCAGGGTTTTTATTGGTTTTCAGTGTTATTTTGTTATCGTTTTTAATCGTTAACACGGTTTTCCTTGGTCTTTTCACGTGTGTTATGAATAAATCTTCTTTTTTTCGGTACCGGTACTAGTTTTATTTTGTTGTATTTATCCGTGACACCTTAAAGGCCGGTCCGTGAAAATATTGTCGGGCATAAACCGGTCCGTGGCGCAAAAAAGGTTGGGGACCGCTGATTTAGACGATAATGTCAGAATTTGGCTGAACATCCATCCATGCTTTCAAACATGAAAGCATGGATGCTGTGTTGTATCAATGGTTCAGGCTCGGTGTGATGGTCTGAGGGACAGTTTCTGGTAACACCATGAGCCTCAGGCTTCCTGCATATTGTTGCTGACCATGTCTGTGACTACAATGTGCTCATCTTCTAATGTCTGCTTCCAACAGTCAATCAATCAGTCAAGGCTTTATTCACCACGTGCAGGTTGCCCTGCAGTGAAACACGCCATGTCACGAAGCTCAAATGATTTCTGTTTTTTGAACATGACATTGAGTTCACTGTACTCAAATGGCCTCTACAGTCACCTGATCTCGATCCAATAGAGCACCTTTGGGATGTGTTGGAACAAGAGATTCACATCATCGATGTGTAGCCAAAAAACTGCATCAACTGTGCAATGCTGTCATGTTTTTGTAGTGTACTTGTTTTTGTTTTCCTGTAATTGTGGTTAATTTATCATTTAAAACAAACATGGTATATAAACATAACTAATACTTATGTTTCTGTGCATCAAAATCTCCAAAATACATATACAGTATATAGATACTAGACAAACCCTTGACCCATTTATGTTTCTTTCCCTCAAAATACATGTAGTGGCCCTGGCAACTAGATGTATTTTGGAGATTTTAATTTATGCATTAGTTAGTGATAGTTGAGCTACAGTTTTAAAAATTTAAAGGCGATAGAGCCTCTGAGTATTAGCTGATTAATGCTGATGTATTTTGCTTATACAGCATGTATGGCTGGTGTTAACTGCAGGGGGTGTATTAAGTATCTGCAGGCCCACAGAAGCTTTCTGCATAAATTATGAGCGCTCTCCAAATCTATGCCAATCCTCTAATGGGCATGAGTGTTTGCCCGTGGCTGTCGATCAAAGTACTTAAAGGGATGAACAGTAAATAATTACATGCTTCATAACACACTGGGGATTTTGCAAAAAACTAGGCAGACACACACACACTCACACATATATGTACAGTATAGCTAAGCGATTATTTAAGTGTTCTGATTAACATTAGTAGCACAGAGAGGTTACTGCAAATTGAAATGTTGTCCATTAAAAGGAATTTCTCTAAGTCAGCACTTAGCTTATGATTCATTCTAAATGATTGGTCAGGGATCTTATAGGTCTGGGGAAAGAAAAAACCTTTATTGCCTTTGTGAAGGAGCTCGGACTTTAGCTGAAATGAGGCCTCATTCGGAATGTCTGAAAACACTAATAACTGCAAGACTAAACGATTTGCCAAAGGAAACCAAACCTAGTTAAACAGTTCCAGTACACTGCACCTTTAAGCCTTCTCACTACCCGTAGAGAGTCCTCTTAACATAATTCACTATGTCTTCTCCTCGTCTGAACCCACAAAGTAACGGTGTTGTATTCCTATTTAATGTGAGCCACAGGTATCCCTGATGGGTCACGTAATCTACTTTCTCATTTGCATCGCTTTGCAGAGTGAAGCGCTAATCTCCAGAGGAGACAAACGACTTCCCTGGAGTGATTTCACCTTGACCTGTAATTGAGTAGAAGCTACTTAGATTGCCAGAGTGTGAGTTTGCGCGTGTGAAGCAGCACGGCTCGTGTTATTTCTAGTTCCTGCCAATAAAACAAACACTTTGCCGTATTACAAACGTGTGACTGAGGAGAATCAAGTTGCCCTTCAATTACCTGATGGATCAGGCGTCGTCTCCCAGTGCAGGTCCCCGTCTTTGTCCCTGATCCAGCCACAAAGACCATCATCAAAGGAGCAGCTCAGATACCCCGACTCTGAATAGAAGAAAAAAAACACACACTTTTCAGAGAAGTGGAGAATGCACACACTTGCACGAGGCGTCAGTCTGCTCTTTGTAATGCTTCACAGTAACCTTGCTTTTTTTGCCTCTAACTTCCCCAGGAGCGAGAGGACTGGCGAAGCTTCTTCTGATGAACAAGATGATACAATAAAAGCGTAAACATTTGTTGTAATGTTGTAATCTCTCTGAAGAGATCTGATGCACTGGAGAAAAATGAATTGGAAATGGAGCTGCACAAATTACGAATAGAAGTGCATTCATCTATAAAAATAAGAGAAAAATATCATAAATATTTACATGAGCTGCAGGAACTGCTGATGTCATTGTGTTTGTAAGTGAACACAAAGACTACTGTTTGCATGCCTTGCATTGTAATTAAAATACATCGTGGTTACAACACAGCTGTAATATTCAGTGACTGATGATTTCTAAGATCCCAGTGATGATGCCCAGACAATAACATTAAGGCAACACAGGCAAAGCAGCTGCTGTAGCATGCAGGCGCTGCGGTACAAATTGGTTCGATGAAAATAACATCCATCATTTTGTCCCTGAAACAGAATTTTCAAGAAGAAAGAAAAAAAAAATGCCAGTTCATTTTCTGAGCCAATGAAAACGCTCTGTGCCTGTGACACGGCGTATCAAATGATACACCCAAACCACAATAAACACACAACTAAATCATTAGGCAATCTTTGCTGCATACCATTGACATCAATAAATCACATTGAGCAAACATGACAGGAGAAGCCATCTCCTCACAAAAGCTTGTTGTTGTGGGAACCTCCTTAATAACTCAAGTATTACGAAGGTTTTGGGCGAAGCTGTGATGTGCTTCAAAATGGTCAATTCATCATTCAAGCAGTCAAGCAATCAAGCTGGCGTAATGCAAAAAGTGGGAAAAGTCTTGCACCGCTTTCTGGGCTGCGAGCCATTATTTAAACCGAAACGACCAGATGTCATGTGTCACCCCCTGGTGAAGGCCCTATCAAAACACATCTGGTCACTGTAATACCTTCACCCTCTGCAGCAGCACTGCGGGAGATGATTGTCAGTTTCATTTTGGTCACGGTAAATGCGGCTCGTCCATCATCATTCGAGCTCAATGAGCGGGGCTCTTGCTGATTGTCTCTGTCAAATGTGTTTTGTTTACCTGGGTCATCCTTGGCTTCGTCTGCCGTGTTGCCGAGCTCAATGTCAAAGTCGATGTCGAGGACTGTGTTGCCACTGGGGTTCCGGGGGACTGAGAGGAAAGAGACAGAGAAACAGAGACAAAGGCTTAGATAAAGGATTAACAAAGGTATTATGTTTGTTCACTAACGTCTGCCTGTGGCTGTTATATCCCTTTGTTTCATTACTCAAAGATTTTACATGGCAAAATCAATGTCATGGCTTAGCACCTCCATAACCAATGTCAGTCACAATTAATAACAGGCAAGACTCCAGAGACTGGAATACCTGAGAAAAACCTGTAGCAACACTAGAGGTCTAATGTGAGTCATAAAGAGGAAAAGGAAGATGGCTCATCTGATGCAACATCTGAGCAAATGTTACGGCTGCACACCTAGCAGCTTCAGTACACGAACGTACACGAGGTACACGGCCTCTCCTTAAATAGCCTCTTTCCTTGTCCGATGGTGTCACCCTGACCAAAATATCACAGACTGAGCCGAGTCATTAAAGGTCAAGTGTGCGCCGGAGAAAAAAAACCCATGTTTTTTTTAGTGAGCAATGTTTTGACCTTTTTGTTCTGTTAGAATGATCACTGTCTGATTTTAAAATGCCTTTTGAAAATGGTTGAAAATGTCAAAAATATATAAAGTACAGAGACATCCTTATTTTGATATATACTGGGTTTGCACTTGTCAGTGGAATTTAATGAGACAAATTATCAATTAAAATATTCTTAGCCCTCCAGGCTGCTTCGTGTGCGTTTGCTATGAATGAACTGTAACCTGCACTTGAACTGTCAAGCCCCCCCCCCAGAGTCCTTAATGTGTGCCCCTTCCCACTCTACACTGAAAGGGCTCCTGCACATGCTGGGTCACGACCACCTGGCAGACTGTGATGTAGTCTGTCAGTCGTAGGAATCTGAGAGTGTGGAGATCACACACACATAAACACACCAGTCTCTCGAGCAATCCCAGGCATCCTGTCTCAGAGCGACGCTGAAAAACTAGTTCATGCATTTATTACTTCCAGGCTGGACTACTGTAATTCATTATTATCAGGATGTCCAAAAAACTCACTGAAAAGCCTTCAGCTAATCCAAAATGCTGCAGCAAGAGTCCTGACAGGGACTAGAAAGAGAGAGCAGATTTCTCCTGTTTTGGCTTCCCTTCATTGGCTTCCTGTTAAATCCAGAATTGAATTCAAAATCCTGCTCCTCACATACAAGGTCTTAAATAATCAGGCCCCATCTTATCTTAATGAGCTTGTAGTACCATATCACCCGATTAGAGCACTTCGCTCTCGCTCTGCAGGCCTGCTTGTTGTTCCTAGAGTATTTAAAAGTAGAATGGGAGGCAGAGCCTTCAGTTTTCAGGCCCCTCTTCTGTGGAACCAGCTTCCAGTTTGGATTCAGGAGACAGACACTATCTCTACTTTCAAGATTAGGCTTAAAACTTTCCTTTTTGCTAAAGCATATAGTTAGGGCTGGACCAGGTGACCCTGAATCCTCCCTTAGTTATGCTGCAATAGACGTAGGCTGCCGGGGGATTCCCATGATGCATTGAGTTTTTCCTTTCCAGTCACCTTTCTCACTCACTATGTGTTAACAGACCTCTCTGCATTGAATCATATCTGTTATTAACCTCTGTCTCTCTTCCACAGCATGTCTTTTATCCTGTCTTCCTTCTCTCACCCCAACCGGTCGCAGCAGATGGCCCCGCCCCTCCCTGAGCCTGGTTCTGCTGGAGGTTTCTTCCTGTTAAAAGGGAGTTTTTCCTTCCAACTGTCGCCAAAGTGCTTGCTCATAGGGGGTCATATGATTGTTGGGTTTTTCTCTGTATCTATGAAGCGCCTTGAGGTGACTTTTGTTGTGATTTGGCGCTATATAAATAAAATTTAATTGAATAATTAATTAATCCAGGTCTCTCTGTGTGTCTGTGCTTTTAAGGAACAAGCATCCCTATGAATTTGGTTGTAGAGTATATACCTATGAGTGATGTAAAAAAGAAAGGGCATTGTCTTTCAGCTCTAAGGTTTAACATATCACGCTCTTACTGCTTCCAGAGGAATTAGGAGGGTAAAGTAGCAGCTCGGTCCTGCTAATCAAATGCGCTTAATTAATTCATCATGAGCAAGTGTGAGCAAGGAGAAAAGACCACAGCAATGACCTTAGAGAAGCAACTGTTGCTCTCCATTAATCTGAGAATGGTCAGAAGGGTAATTTCTAAACAATTTGAAGTCTGTTATTCTGCAGTGAGAAAGATTACTCACAAAGGAAAACATTTGTGAATAAAACTCAAGACTCTCCCAGTCTTCCTGGGAGTGGACGTCCAAGCAAATTCACTCCAAGGTCAGATTGTGCAGTTCTAAGAGAAACTGCAAAAAACCCAGAAGCTGCACATTAGACTCAACTACCCAGAGTCCTGGTTTATCTATCTATCTATCTATCTATCTATCTATCTATCTATCTATCTATCTATCTATCTATCTATCTATCTATCTATCTATCTATCTATCTATCTATCTATCTATCTATCTATCTATCTATCTATCTAACAACTAAGGATGTCTTTGTAATGTGGGGTAGAGGGGGGAGAAAAACATGTAAACAATAATTTGAAATATGCTGTGATGTTTGACTCTTGACCTTGTGTGTGTGTGCGTGTTTGTGTGTGTGTGTGTGTGTTTCAAGCCAGTTATTTGGTAGTAAAAGCTGCAGAGTTGATATTCTACATTCTGCCCAATTGCCGAGCAAAAAGTAAAGAAAGAAAGAGTTTAAGGTTTAGAGACAAGTGCAGTGTACTTATTCCTTTCTAGACACCGTGTAGCTGCATCTTTTAACCGGCAGGTTAAACATCGCACTTCATCATCCATCCATCACTGTCGCTCAGTGAAAGCCTCACATCTCTGCAGCTTGCATTCAGAGATTAAGAGCCTTATTTAAGCCTAATTTACAAGAATTCCTGACACAATTCACGGCATGTTTATATTCTGCAAAATATGTTTATTGGAGTTCTTGCTGACTTCGATGGAGGTAGAAGTGGCAGGCAACAACATTAACATGAAGAGGGGGAAGCAGCGAGACACAGCTAGCCTGCCTCTCTCTGTAGTTAAACAAATGTGACTATTAGCATTTCAAAAGCTTACTAATTGGCAGTTCTGGCACTATGTCTTTAAACCTTATCCAGACAGAGTCATAACAATTTGTTGTTTTATAGGCATTTGTGTAGCATTATCATCATTATTTGGCTGGAAGCCGACTTCATGGTGTTTTGCCAAGCAAACAGCAGAGATGCTACGCAGGACAAGCTGTCGTTGTAGTAAAAACCAAAGACACTGTCATTTTTCTAACACACGTCGATAACAAAAATGCACAATTCAGATAAGCGTATCACTTCATCTCAGCCTCTGCTCCTTATCTTACTGTGAGGTGATCACAGCTTTCACATTTTTCCTTAATGATTAAAAGGTTATAGAGACGAGGTTTTCAAAAACGGGTTCCGCTCACTTCACGGGTCAAGACCCAAAGGAATCTGTGAAAACCTTTGAATTAGTTCCGACTGAAACGCACACCTGCACTCGAGAAGCAGCTGAAGTATTCTTCACGCCACGGGGCTCTTCTTCATTTTCATCCCTATTTCCGTCTAATTATTTGAATAATCACTCAGTGATGTCTCTCCTCCCCTCCTTCCCTCTCTCTCTCATCTGATTCAAGCCATCCTCGGCAAGCTCTGATTTCTAGAGCTGCTCTGCCGTAGTGCGGACTATTAGATTGATGTCTCCCTCAAGCAGGGCAGACAGGTGTTAAGGTAATCTTCTCTCCTCTTCCCTTTTTCTAATTATGTGATGCCATCTGGCAAGGTGAATAGGAACCACAGTATCTCACCTCTTATTCTGTACTTAGTTTCTCGGCATACATATTTTTGAGGGAGAACAGCTTAATGCCGAGTTTTCAGTAAACACTGTAATTTGCTGTGGCTACAAGCAAGCAAAACGCCAAAAGAGAGACACTTCTTGGAAATAAGCTTTATCGGGTCTTTGATACACAGACAGTATTTGTTAGTGGGATCAACTCGTTGCTGCTTTTTTTGTCTTATCGTTGGATTTACTGAGCACTGTCAACAAAATACAAAATTCCAACCAGCCCTATCATGTAGCTCGAGAGAGAAAACCGCCTGTTTCATCTGTTACATAAAAACGAGGATCGTGATTTCAGCCCTGAACTGCATATTTCAGACTTAACAGTGGGCGAGTTTTCTCATTAAGAAACAATTCACAGTTCTGAAAAGGTGCAGCACACGATTGGCCTGATTAGCTCCTTTGTTAAAGCCAAAAAAAAGCAGTCTTACCACCTAACATTATTTATAATTCATTCTGTTATTTGGTTTGATTGAGAATGTGATTCATTTTGAAGGTAATTGGTGTCAGAGTTTGATGCTTGGCCGAGAGCACTGCGTGACATGTGAATAACAAACGGTCTGGCTAAGTTTGTGTTTGTCACTTGAAGCCAAAAAGATAATTACCTTGAGAAGAGAAAGACATTCCTTCTCTCACTGTACAGCTTTGTGACACTGAGCTCATAATACTTCATTTTCTTGCAAAAAAAATTGGACATTATTTCCATACAATAGCTGCATTTTGAAGGTGGGTGTAGCTCTATTCAAATGGAAATCACTGTGAATTCGCCTATATAGGAGACTTAAAGGGAGCGTTTGTGCCAGAATCAAATTTACATATTTTACCTCTGGTGTGTAGTGCGTTTTATCGATCTTCTTTTCCCAGAAATTATAAACTGTTTACTCAAGAAAAAAAGCAAGTGGCATGTAGTTTGACTGTTGAAGATGAGGCAGGGGATTTCTTTAAAACTGAAAACTGGCTGCCACTACAGGCTAGCTGGAAAACACATTAAGGTGACCAGATCCCAATAAAGTGAATGTGGAGCAAACACTGTGTTTGTGTGGGACAAAGTGGGACACGTCAACAACACTGAGAGGTTTTCTGAAATGTTCATATCCAATTTTAAACTTAAAATACACTAAACTGCGCAGGTCACTGGGTTGTCATTTAGCAAATACAGGACAAATATACAGTGATCATAAAAGGAAGCTTCAGTTTGTTCTTATAGACTCGTGCAATAGTCTTTATATACTCCTGTGTTCTCTTTTATTTCACTGTTATTTCAGCAGCTCTTCTGTTTGGATGTATCTATAGATAGGATGACACTTTAAGCAATTTTTATCCAATTATGACCCACACAGCCTGCGTCACCACACAACATATCTTCCGCCTGTGGGAAATGGCAAACTACCTTTAACAAAAACAGACAAAACCGCTTTTTTTGCAGCACCTACTGTCATATTCAAGAAAATCTACAAAGTTTGTGACTTTTTTGGGGACTTTTAACTTTACCTTCTTCTTCTGACTATAATAAGAAGTGTTTTCTTCATACAGACTGCGTAAAAGTGCATGTCCCGCAGAACTAGTCAAAATATGGCACATTGTCCAAAATGTGGGAAGGGGGGGAAACAGTGGGTAACAAACTCCCGCTCCAGTGTATCTTAACTGGTCTTGAAAGTGACCTCTGAGTTTTGAGTTGAACCATTTTGAAGACTTTGCAAATGGAAACTTTGAGATTCAAATTTGCTGACATATCTGAGCTAACAAAGCTGGAAGATGAACTTTATACACCAGCTGCCAGCTGCTGTTTATGGTAATATATGAAATCTGGATGTGCGAATGCAACAACTTAACCCCTTAATGCCAAGTGGATCGCATTTGATACGTGAGTTTTTGTCGCATTTGATACGTGAGTTTTTGTCGCATTTGATACGTGAGTTTTTGTCACATTTGATACGTGAGTTTTTGTCGCATTTGATACGTGAGTTTTTGTCGCATTTGATACGTGAGTTTTTGTCGCATTTGATACGTGAGTTTTTGTCACATTTGATACGTGAGTTTTTGTCGCATTTGATACGTGAGTTTTTGTCGCATTTGATACGTGAGTTTTTGTCACATTTGATACGTGAGTTTTTGTCGCATTTGATACGTGAGTTTTTGTCGCATTTGATACGTGAGTTTTTGTTTTAGAGTTTTGAGTTTTTGAGACATCTACATCATCAGTGTAATTTTCCCCCCTGAAAAAAATAAATAAATTGCACAGTACATTTTTAAACAATACACTGCAAAAACTAAAACTAATTAAATTTTTTTTAAAAACACACCAGATGTAGCAAATGTGATACAAATTAAAAGATAATTCATGCAGATGTTATTAAGACCCATGGTGTAAATGAACAGTTCAGCTATAAGGAAACCAAAAGAAAACAGGGTTCATTTCATAATCACAAAGCTGAAGCTGTAAATGTAAATGCACAGGTGCTTATAGAGCGCTGTTCTGAACTGAGCACTCAAAGCACTTTTCATTACAAGAGTACCCAATCATACACAATATATTCACACAGAGCTTTATTCTGTGTCTGAGCCCCATGTCTCACATTCATGCACTCACATACTGATTAATGCTTATCTTGACCAAGGGTGCTTTAATATACAGACAGGAGGAACCCGGGCATCAAACCACTGACCTTACAATTGCAGGAGAACACGTTGAATCGTCCTGAGCCACAACCCCAAGGTAACAAACAAGGCTTTCCTACATGTTCAGAGCAGTTAAAGCTGTTCCATCCCCCCAAAAAATACATTTATAAGAACAACGTGTAGTTCTATAGCTGCTATGTGAAAGACTGCATCACCTGTATGGAGTGTTTAAGCTCATTGTTTTTGTTCTGCAGCCCACAGCTTTACTGTTCTGGTTCACTTTTACTGCCTCTAGTCAGCCTTGTTTTCCAGACACAGCAGCTGTTCTCAGTGAAAAAGCTGTAAACACTCATTGTACACTACCTGCCCTGCAACAAGCAGCAATCACTCAAAATAGCAGCTCGCTGCTGAACATTGCAGAGCATTTAGCAGCTCAGGAGCCAGATTTTTTTTCTTATATACATCAAAACAGATTAGTGGACGCATGTGGAACAGACAAAGAAACACCTTATAAGACTCTACAGTTGGATCTAAATATGTCTTATGTCACATGATTTCCTGATGAAAGTGTCCCTCACACAACACAACATCAATCGTTTTATGACTATGTTTGGATAGTGAAGTGTAAAAGGGGACATTTTAATAAGCAGATGTCTTCTTCATTTTGGGAGCACTGAACTTGTTTGCCAGATAAAAAGAAAAACACACTTAAAGTTAATACTGATGTTGCTCTTTGTGTGCCAGATGTGTAAACAAACAGCTGCCTGCTAACAACTGTACGAGGTAAAAATGTAAATTTTGTGCTTACGGCTTCCTCCGGTAAACATCTGGAGGAAGTACATCAAACTGTTGCTTTTTTAATATTTCATGTGTATTTACTTAAGAAAAAACAATATACATAATACTTATGACTCAAAAACTTTGAGTTATAAGTATGTATCTGAAAAGGGGAGGAAGCTATCACAATGGCTTTAAATCACCTGTTGAAACAAAACAACACCGTAGTAAAGCAAGAAGCCTCTTACTGTGAACATCCCCTCTCTGCTTGGTGACCTCCTTCTGGATGGTATTGTCCACTGGTGTGACCGGTGGCAGTGGCAAGGGTGGTCTGGTGGGAACTGCTGGCCTTGGAATGTAGGGTTTGCGAGTGGGTACCGGTGGCTTTCGGGTGGGTATGAAGGGCTTTCGGGTGGGTATGAAGGGCTTTCGGGTGGGGACCAACGGCTTGTGTTGCGATGGGGTCACCCTCGGGCGGGGTGCCTTGGTTGTAGTTGTAGCGGTTGGCGGCAATTTAGGGAAGATGATCTTTGGAGTGACTGGTGGGCGAGTGGTGGTGGTCCTCTGCTGATCCAAGTCTGGGATGTGGTTGTGATGATTTGGAGGCACTTTGCCTGGTCTCGGGGGGTCAATAACCACTTTAGGGATGGCTGAAATAATGAGAAAATGCAGATGGAGCACTGAAATATGAGCACTTAAGAGTTAATGAGGCATACATTTGCAGACTAACTGCAATTATTAGCCTCACTTTTTTGAAGAAGAGGGCTTTACTTCATCTACTGAGACTTCTGATAACCATTACCTAAATGTTAGCACTCTAAAACAAATTGGGTGTCTCCAATCACACTGAAAGCAAAAGCTCACAGCTGCAAACGAAGCTCATAAGTTCACATTCACTCACAGTTACAGGACTTCACAAGCTGAACCATTAAGACAGCCCACGTTCAGTGAACTCCTGCTCTTTGAAAATCGATCTTGCTTTCTTATCATGTCTTTTTTATCTGTCCGTGCGGTCATCTTGATTAGTAATTCTTTGTATGCTCATAGCCAGAGGCTTCGCAGCACAAGTCTAGAGCTGCTTGAAGTGTATGGAATGATTTCTGCACTAAGTCAGGCTGCTGTGCCCCGAAGATCACCCTCGCTCATGTCATCAAAGCTACACCGCCTTTTCCTTTGTGGCTGCACACATTGTCCAGGAGCAGAGACACAGATTGGGGGGTTGGCTTTCTTTTTTTTTTCTTTTTGGCAGGGGTGATAGTGGCAGTTTCCTAAGGATTTCATGAGTGAAGAATGAGAGTGGACAAAGGCAAAAGGTTTGAACTCTGTTATTGCCTTTTCAGGTTGCAGGCGACTTTGATATGTGATACATGAATAGGATATTGCAACGTGACTCCCTGAGCACTTGCGGCTCACACCCTTTGGGCAGGACGGTGGGGTGAAGTATATGCAGCAGGTTCCAACTTTGCTCTGTGGAATGCCACATGAGTTGCGCCCGTCCATTGGTTAAATAACTGTGGAGAATAAATGACTCTTTGTCTACTGAGCTGCTGTAAAAAAGTGCCGACGCACACTGTAATGAACTCTGTGTCAGTAAGCAGAATGAGACCAACTAACAGATCACAACAAATCACAGATGATGACGACTCCTCTTTGTGTCCTTATTACTCGAGCCGCATGTCAAAAAACCAAGTCAATCTGGGAACATGCGATAAAGGGGCAGGGTGAGTCAAGTAATGACTGACAGCTATTACAAAGAAAGGAATTTCAGTCCAAGCTTTGTGCTTGCAAGCCTATTTCTCCCTCTCTCCCTGCTCCCCCCAGCACATTTTTAAAGACACAGGCAAAGAAAAAAGAAAAAAAACCTGAAGCCCTGTTCCTTGTTGATAAACTGAATATTAGTTCTGCAGTTTTCTCTCGGGACTTACGTTTACAGTCGTGGCCCATCCCCCTGTAGCCGTCTTTGCATTTGCACTTGTACGAGCCCGGCGTGTTGTAGCAGGTGGCAAAGCTGCTGCAGTGGCTTTGACCTAAAGAGCACTCATCCACATCTGAAAGATAATGGAAGCATAACAACATTCAGCTCCTGGGTGCAAGTGCAGAAAGCTTAAAACGTAAAAGCAGAATATCAAACGCTAATTGCTTCACATCCACTTAAAGGAAGCTTCAAAATTTATGTCGTACTGTTAGTGAAAGAGTTTAAGTGGATAATAGTCGACCTTTTATGAATACCGGAGGAAAAATCACCACGAAGGTTGTTGTAAAAGTCCTCCCCAAGATACAGAGATGTGTCTTTTATACATTTAAAGAGCACCTGCCAAGTTGCTCTTGGCCGTTCTTTAATCTAATCAACTTGATAATTTTATTCAAAAGCAGATGAAATAGGATATGAATTGCAATAGAAGCTAATCTGTATTTGTTTTTCACATTTTTGGTGGTTAGAATTCATGAGCATGATACTAACAATTAAAAATCCACCTTTTGAAAGTTAAAAGTTTATTAAATTGCCATATTACTAAGTTTTTTTAATCTCTGTTTTTCTTTTAGTTGAAAAATACAGTCATGTGAAAAAGAAAGTATGGACTTACTGCATCCATGCACCTTGCAGTCATTGAGTCGGCCATGAGCTTCTCTGTGTATCAAAATATTCTAAAGTTAAATGTGAGGCCATCTGTCTGACAGCTAAAGCTGAAAGATGCAACGGAAATACGATCCAGAGTTGCAAAGGTAAGACTCCTCCATAACCATGTGAGATATGGTTAATTGCTTGTACAAGTTACATTTTAAAATGCAATTTTCCTGTTTTTTGTTACTGCATTGTTTTCCCTTTGCAAAGTATCTACTGATGTAGTTGTTACACTGAATCGTGTTTTTTAAACTAATTGTTTTACAACCAATTAACCTACAAATAGAAAATCACAACGGGCCTGTTAAATGAGAGATTGGTTGAAAACCGCATCAGAGCATTAAATTAAAATACTAAAGCAAAGCAGAAGTTTGTCACATTGTAGTATCAAACATGGATTTCTGCTACTCATCTCTGCATGCGTGTTTCTTTTCTTTTCATCGGGCTCCTTCATAAGCAGTTCAAAAACAAAACTCGCATCACTAAAAGTACCTCGGCTTAAATTCAAGCCACCTCAGCGCATCTTTGACCTTTGTGTGAGTATTGCCAGTCGAAGCCTCACAACAGAGGCGCTGCCACAGTACCTATGCACTGGTATTTTCCGTTGATGTATTGCAGGTCGAAGCCTTCGTGGCATTTGCAGATGTAGCTACCAAAGGTGTTGATACATTTCCTGAACCTGGGACACACTGCTATCCCTGCTGCACACTCATCCACATCTGCAAAAGAAAGAAGATTGAGAAATTGAGGAAAATGCTCAGATAAATGTCTATAATGCATTAAATAAGAAGTGCACTCAAAATAAAACGACGTGATTTAAAAAAAAAATTGAGATTAGAAAGCATAATTGAATCTAAACTAAACATTACTATTCATGCCGGAACACATGTTCTTCATCCCTGCTTAGTATTCATTTATGAACAAAGCTCCTTTTACATTCTGCTCAGTGAGCAGAAAACAACACACACTAGCTTGTTTCATTATTTAAAGACTTTTTCCAAGTGTCTCTGTTGATCACCTTTACAGGCATGTGATCATTAATATTTAGACGCTGGGAGCCTGAAAGCTTCACCTTAAAATCTTTAATTTATTTGCAGCATAATGCAGCTGAGGTGCTCAGAAACTGTTGTTTAAAATAACCTTAACAACACTAAAGTCACCTGGACCAGCTGGGAAAACAAGCGAGAGCGGTTAGTGGGCAGAGCTCTTCCCATCCCATTAACAACTACTGCTGAGGGTCTCATCAGCGAGGATCTTAATCCCAAACTGCTTGAGTGGAGCTGCTTAATGGCCAACAGTTGTGGATGCATCACTGCCGTCACAGCAAGGGCAGACGTGGATTATTATATTTGAAATCACAAAGTAAAGTAACTGCACCTTTATACAGAGTAAAAAGCAAATCATGCTTACCCCATTTTCACATTCACAGATTCTATATCAGCAATGTTTATGTTTTAAAATGTGCTGAAAGTGACAGCTTCTGTGAGAAGCCGACTTTAATCAGATGGTGTTTCAGTCAAATTCTGTCACTGAGCAAAAACAAGTCGATACCTTCATCCAGTGAATCGTGAGACATCCTTCTTCAAGGATTCCCGGCCTAATTCACTTTTAGTAAACAAACACTGAAGCATGTGGAGTTTCCTAAAACAGCTACAGTAGTCCTGCTGGAGCTATTATGTTTACATTTTGTACCAATTCATGCATTTAAGTCGCTTCCAATGATTAAAAAAACCCAGAATGGCCGATGGGATGAATATATATGGTTTATAATGACTCATTCATACAAACTTGTACTCATTCCTGTTAAGGTTACAGAGAATTAGTTCAACTAAAACATCCGACACACTACGATGGTCCGATCGCAGCGTTCGTGCACTTTGAAACATGTATGAGAGCAAAGCTACAGATATGAGCAGCAGTGCGCTACGATCCCATTTCCACAAAAGTTGCAACACTGTGTGAAGTAGTACAAAGGGAATGCAAGATTTTCTAGTCATCCCAGTGCTATATTTTATTGAATATAGTACAAGTACAACATATCAAATGGACTTTTTAAGAATATGCGCTCATTTTGAATGTTATGTGCTTAAAAAACACAGATTTGACCGACAGCGTTTCATCATCCATAGGGTACTTTTTACTCTTTACCTCAGTCCACACTGAATGAGCTCAGGCCCAGAGGGTTGTTTATTTCATGCTACAGTTTTCACTTGCATTTTGGGGCGGCAGCGATAAACTGTGTTTACTGACAATGCTTTTCAGAATTGTTCCTGAGTCCATGCATAAAAGTGTCTGTTTTTAATGCAGTGGTGCCTGAGGGCCTGAAGCTCACGCACCTTTCGTTCATTTTTGACCTTTTCTCTTACATCAGATTTTTTAATTTTACATTAAGAAAGGGTCTTCTTAACTTATTGAACCACTTACAAATTCAGACTTTCACACCCTTCTCCATTTTTACATCTGACAGACTCATCCTCTCTTTTTATATCCAGTCATGCTACTAATTAACCTCATTAGCTGCCAGATGCTTCACTTCAGTCTCTGGTTCCTACATAGAATCACGTCCACGAGGATGATTATACAGCTTCCATAAAACTCTCCACGTCCAGAGTTTACTGTAGTAACACCTGTGGTAGGCAAAGGGTTCTGTCCCCTTCATAATTCTTCATGATTCATGTCGGTGCTATTTTAGAAAACCACCCCTTTAGCTGCCCAGCAGTTAAGTGGCCCTATAAGGCAGCATAAAGGGGAAGAGCCTCTAGTGAACACCCTGTGTTTAAACCTGACACAGGTTAACTGCCTCAACTGCCCACCTCATCTGTTAAGGTACCCCTCTGAGGAGCAGTGTCACATAAAATTGGCAGTAAAGGCAGACATGTGGGATTCCCTCGATCGCATTCCTGCTGTAAAAGCAACAGGAAGCAAACAACTTGGTCGAGAAGGACCGACGATGAAATCAAAGTGATGCGCTGTGAAACAATTTGGATGAATTCAACTTTGATGAGTTGTTTGCTTTGAGGATTTGCGTTCGAGTGGCTAAACTGCAAATTGTGTTGCCAGTTTCTTTTCTTCCTTTGCCAAAATAGTTGCCTTTGATTAGCAAATTTAAAGGCTGAGAAAAACACACAAACACATACTCACACACAAACAAAAAAAAAGTTATATTTATGAGGATTTACACGCTGCAAGTCGCTCACAGATAAGAGTAGCTCAGCTTTCAGGCATGTGGAGATATTTTAAGACTGGGACGTACCCACACAGGTTCTCCCATCCGGAGCCAGCTGTAGCCCCGGCGACGGACACTGACATCGGACCTCTCCTTTCAGCACCTCGCAGCCATACTGGCAGTTGGCCATACCACAAGTGCGAGCGTCTGATGGGTAAAAGAGAAACACGGCACACATTAACACACACTGGTGCCACTGGGGAGTACAAAGGGAGAAGAGTTTATGCCATTCTCACCTACACTTTTTTTTCCTCACACCAACACACACACGCGCGCGCGCTTCTTTTTCCTCCAGCCAATTTATAACAGCCAGGCCACTCGCCTGCCTTTTCTGATATTAGCTTGACCCTGGGGTGCTGCCAGCGGCACAGCACTCACTCTGCCATTATTAGACTTCTCTGCTGTGCAGTTGCCATGTGCTCACACCTTAGCTCCAGCAATCTTCCCCCTGCCCACTTTTATCCTTTGTTACACCCAAAGATTGATAATCCATCTCCCCCCCTCGATATCAAAGCAACAGCGTGAGGCGTGAGTGTTGTTGAGACGTGCCGGGCAGATCAAGAACTTCCAAAAATAATAACGTAATGAAAGAGATTTTCTTCGGCCTGTCTTGATAACAGTGGGCTCTAAAAAGGAAATTAAAAGTGAGGCTTTTGCTGCCACTGCTACTTCAGCTGCTGCCGGCACCCTGGAGTAGAGTCTGATGACTGAGGCAGGCCGGGCTGATTAAATGCTACAGTGATCTATTGATCAAAGGGGAGAAAGGAGGAGCAGCAAGGTGTTTAACGGCATCATGCTATCATTAGACAACAACATCTAGGATAATTTCAGATTGCCTCAAGTGTTACGCGATTTAGACTTTAAAAGGTGGGGAGTGAATTTTCCCCTCGTACAAAAGAACTAATTAAAAAGAGGTATCGGGAGTCATACAGTCCTCAAGTGGAAACGTGCAGGGAAAATAGTTATCAGGTGGGAAACAGAATTTACAGGGAGACATGTTCAGGCATCAGCTCACATTCTGTGGACTACCTCGGGGCAAACAATAAAAAAAAACCCTAAAAGAAAATGTGCACATTCACTCAAGGGTCTGTAGATTGTGTTTCTTTCATATTTTTCATTTCAGCCCTCAAAGGGTTCTTCACAGGGGTTCTTTAGTCTGAAGAGCTACTATAATGAAGCAGATCAACACGGTGTTTTAATCAAAACAGTCTATCAAAGGATTGTGAGGCTGCTGTCAGGGGTACGAGTGGGAAATACATTTCTTAATGATATCAACACCGTGTCCTGTAGAAACAGATGGATACATTCAGTGAAAAGAGGAATCCTCCATGAGGAGAACACAGACAGGGAAAGGAAACTTCCACCTCTCAGGCTGTAACACAAAGAGTGTTAACAATCAAAGTGTGTGTGTGCAAGAGAAACAGGCTTACTTCCACAGGTCCCGTCAGGCATCAGCATGTAGCCATTCAGGCAGTAACACTTGTAGCTCCCATACGTGTTCATGCACCTGTGTTTGCAGGGCCTTGGCTTTAGCCCGCACTCATTCAGGTCTGCAGACAGAGAGAAAGACAACTTAAATCACCCGGGGTACAGAGAGACAGAGGTCCTATAAAGAGGTGAAATTAGTCACGGGGCAAAGGTGGAAGAGGTGAGTCATGTCAGACATCGCTTGTCCATTTACGTGCAGGTATGCAGGCTCCCTCTGAGGTGACTGCGTGTTAACGTGGTCGTTGTTTAAATGGGGTGGGGGTATCTTCAAGGAAGTGAAGCGTTTCTGTGTTCTGACAGGCCCAGAAATCGCCCTTTTGATGGTTAAGCCAGTAACAGCATTAAACCTTTGCATCACCTGCATGCGATGAAGGATATGATTAAACCCTATGACTTTCCACCACTTTGTGAGGTTTGCCAGTTCTCCATCTGGTTTTCTTTGATGGATACGTTTAATTCTGGTGTTTTTATGTGGACGTGAAAGTAGAGAAATCTCACCCACAGTAGCCCATGAAAATCTTATTAGAAAACGATGCTGTCTGGGCTCGGAGTAAGGAGCACCCCTTGGAGAAAAGAATATGCTCTCAGCTCAACACCTGTCAAATGCTTATGCAAATTCAAGTCATTATGCTTTTCTCGGAGCAGACATTTTGACGAGTCAAACAGAGCTGTAACTAATGACATTAATGATGTCTTCCTTTCTTCCATGTATTTTAAATCCCAGGGCTCTGGTGCATGCTGCCTCACTGGGATGACTTACTGACACTCCAAAATGTAACAGAGCATTGCCAAAACCATTAAAACACTGGTTACACTTGTGTACCTCCTGTTATGATAAGACAAAGTGTGCAAAGTACGTGCAAAGTTTACAGTGGCTCAGGTAAGTGAATATATTTAGGTCTTTATATTCATTAAAATGGATGGAAAACAAAGAGACAGCCACGACATTACCTTTAAAAGGCATATTTTGACATATCATCGCATAAAAAATTAAAGGTGACAATTTGTTTTCATTAGTCTGTTTCAGGTCATTGCACACACTGCAACTTCAGAACAACTTAGTTGGATATGATTAATATAGTAACACCTACAGTCAGCTGGAAAAGAAAGTTTTCCCCAAACTCTCTGCAGTCCAGTGAAAACTAAGTACACCTCATGGTTCAGTAGCTTGTAGGATCACCTTTAGCTGCAATAACTTAAAGTAATTGTTTTCTTTATGGCTTTATCAGACCCTCTTGTCACAGTGGAGGAATGACCCACTCTTGGTGCTTCACTTCATTGAGGTTTGACAGGCTCATTCGTCTGGGCTTTGACTGGGTCATTGCAACACCTTGGTGCTTTTCTTCTTCGGTCATTCTGTTGCAGATTTGCTGTTATGCTTGGGAAAACTGTCCTGTTGCATAACCCAATTTGAGAAAAGCTTTAGCTGTCAGAAAGATGGCCTCATATTTGAGACAAAAGTACTTTGTTATACAGATGAGTTCATGGTGGACTGCAAGGTGCTCAGGTCCTTTGGCTGTAAAAACGAGTCCAAATCATGACCATTGTGGTCGACAGTTGGTATGAGGTTTTTCTGCCAATATGTTTGGTGTGCATTACAGTCAAACATCTCCACTCCACAAGGACGTTGTTCAAGATGCCTTGAAAAAGCCATACTTGTTCAGCCTTTTAGATCGTACTATTATGTACTGTTAGCATTTAACAGGTCTCAGTAGAGTCTGAGTCGTGGCTCTTGGAGTGTTTTATGACCTTTGTGCGGTCTGAAGTGTGTGTGTCAAAGCAAATGTGACATCTTCCAAAGCATACTGCTAACACATACCTGAATGCTCCAGATCAACAAATTGCCAAAACTTCTGCTTTTATCAAAGTGATCCTGCTTTCCAGTCATCAGATAATTAGTACATTTGCGGCAAAGACCAGGCTGCTTCTTGTTCTCTTAACTCCTGTGGAAGCAGTAAGGGGGGCACTTACTTCTTTAACAGGACTACATAGGGCTGCATGAAAACTTTTTTTTCCCACAACTGTATATATTTAAAATCAAATCAAGTGTTGTGTCTCAAATTGTACATTTCTGCACTAACACTTGTCTTTTTGAATGCATAAGAAGAGTGACTTTTAAAAGTTTGGGCACATGCATTCCACCAGACATTCTCCAATGGTGTGCTCATTACAGTCAGAAGCTGACTGAACAGTACTATATGTTTGCCACCTTTTGTGGTGGAATACACAGCAGAAAGGATGGATTTTCAGCCAGTAGTAGGAGGATGGTGATGCCAATAACTGGCTAGCTAGCTAGCACTTTATGCTTCTTGGGGCAGCACTATTCAGTGGTTACCACCCTCATTATTTTAAAAACTTGGTGCTACGTTTTGGTCAGAAATTTTGCAAAGTGCATTGCCAACACAACAATGATGGTCAAATAATCATCATTTTGAGGCACTACATTGGTAAAATTTATAGACTATGCAAGTAAATCCACAGTCTATTAGTAAAAGTTTTCAAATGAAACACAAGCAAAGGCTTTTAACAGCTGTCTTAAATAAGGAAGGTCTGTTTTTATTTAGTCCACTGAACAAAGAATAACTATTATCTGATACAAAGTGACAATCATAACAATTATGTAATGCACTCAAGCTTTCACTCCATTAAAGAGGATAAAAATGATGGCAGATGAAATTACTGAACCGTCTTTAGGTGAAACACAAACAGAAATGTCATAATTACATCATGTTTTCATCATTTTTTATTTTTTTTAGCGGTTTGATGTTTAGCTCCTCAGTTTACAGCTAGTGGGAGCAGACTGTAGATTAACTGCCACCAACAGTTTATCAGTGAACTCAAACATAATATTTGCAGTAACTTATTGGATGAAAAGGCCAAATTATTTCTGTCTTAACCTGGCTGTTAATGTTATTAGCAACACAAGTGCTTTTTATGCTGCGTTAAATGTTCACTGCAAGAAAAACCTCTTGTAGCTTTCTTGGTGGTTTCAGACTTTGATGCTGTAATTGTTATTTGCTGTGTGCGCTCAATAATTTATGCAAGAAATTCTTTCTACGCTCCCACTTTTAGAAAGAGGGATTACACTAGCCTGCAGTCATGCAGCTCAGATGTGCAAAGCGTTTGCTTTAAATCATGTTTTTCACCTAAAGTAAGTTTTAGGAAAGAGTTGTCTCATAAAGGAAACTGTGTCACTCTTTCAGAGCATCACTGAACAGCTTGTCTGGTTAGAGTAACCAGATAAGCCTTTTCATAGTCCCAGCTCTTGCTTACATCCTTTTAATAACTTGGAGAACTTCAGTGCTTACAAGGAAGACTACATTCTGTTTGAAGTCTAAGTTTTATTGACCAAACAGGCTTTGGTTGTATACAGGTAAACAGTTCGTGTGAAGTGAAAAAGGGATTGCATTTAGTGAAATGTAATATTAAAACCACTGGTTATTGCCTGAAGACAGACTATCTTTAGATAAGCTTTTCAAACAGGTTGCTTCTGCTTTGGTTAGCATAAATTCGCATGTGCATATCGCTGAAATACTTATGGATTTTGATGGAAACAGGGTTTATGTTTGGGGCAAATGTTTCTTCATATATTACCTGCACCTCGTTTAAATGTGACAAGTTTGGAGTGTCAGAACCATAAAAGGAAAAATCCAACTTGAAACGGTACCAAAAATCCATCACACCTGAACGATGACACACACTCCAAGCAATATAAATAACTATGAATACCACTCTCTGTGTCTGTGACACAGTAGAAGCATCATAAAATAGATTTCATCTCACCGTGTGGCACATGAGCGTTCATCTTGGCTTACTGCACTTTAAATGGCGCCGTGTTTAGCTCTATGGACATATGTAGGGCACATTCTTTGAGAGCCACATACCTCCTGCATTTAAAAGATGCCACAGTTTAATTTGGATGAATGATTGAGCAGATGCCCAGTTTGTATATGTACAGACTCCTGTCTTCTATTAATGAAAGCTTCTGGTCTACTAAAGCCAAACTGGCTAAGTGATCAGTAAATGTGTCAGAAATTTGGACAGCATGCTTAACCTTAGGAAGTGCTGCCAGACTTCAAGTCATGTTCCATGACCATAAATTCTTTTAGATATATAGGGGTCAGTTTGTGAAAGCAGCTGTCATGCTGGGGTGATATATAAATCATTTAAAACATTACTTTCACTGTTTGAATGAGTAGAGATAACAAGGAGCAGACTACTTACAGTTATAAAAACATTCTTCTACATGTAAGACAAGCTAAATGGTTATTAGACTTAAGCAGGGCTGCACGATTAATCCAGTTTTAATCTCGATCACGAGTCTGGTTTCCCACAATTAAATCAGCATCACTGATTGATAATGAAAATCTGTGCTCTGGCAATAAAATCCTGTTCCCTGCAATGTACAGGATCACATTAAAAGCAGGTCATTAGCTGTTGTTTGGAAATACATTTTAGTGATTTAGTCCTGTATTATTGGGTCTGTGCTCCAACTCAACACAACTAACTTATTCAAAACACATCTACATCTGCTCTACAATGAATGTAAAGACAAACAGTGCGGTCGTACCTAATGGAAATCATCCAGCACAGACTCAGAAGTCCATAAAAAAAGCAGGCCTGTGCAGCGCATCTGGTCGTCCATCAAGCTCAAAAAGACAAACTGAAGTCACCAACAAATGCAGTCAAATTCCATTTAGCCAAAAATATGTGTCCACTACCCATTAAGGCTTAAGGAAACTGGTCAACTGTATGAAAGTGGCAAAACCTGCACTATAGGCAAAGAGAGAAATAAAGTTTTACTATATGCATTTTATTCACATCTGTCATGTAGGTAACCATAATGGAATAAAAAAAAAGTGCTCCAAGGCTCCAAAGGCTTAACTGACAAGTGCTTTTCAGTGGGGCAGATGCAAGCTCAGGACCAACAAAAAGGACTTCCTGGGGCACTTGGTTTTATTGCAAAATAATACAACAAGTTTATTCTAGGAGCAGTATGAGACGAACAAGTGCATAATTGCTCTAAGAGTCGACCCTGATGAAGAATAGATGTGTTGGTTTATATTCTTTCCTTCTAGGAAATGCACTCGGGTCAGATGAATAAGGCGTTTGGATACAAACACCTCATTTGTATGCAGAGATGTTTTAATTAACATGAATGCAGCACAAGGCAAAGGTGAAAGCATCGTCCTGTGGACTACATTTTGTGTTAGCTTAGTTAAAAAAGAAAAAAAAAATTATATGAATATTTATTCTCTAAGATATGCACTGAATTTAGGTAACTAAAGAAGGACTGGTTTTATTTTAAACATTAGCAGGAATGCAGCAGAGCATGGATGTAAGCTTACATGATCATTTCGGGGGTCAAATCAGTGAATAATCACAACAACAAACGTTGACATTTAAAATAATAGTGATAATAATTTTGCTCATAGTCGTGCTGCCCTAAAATGAATTTTTATTTTGAAATTTCAGGATTTCTGATATGAATGAAATGTCTTTGCAAATATAAACTGATTGTCTTCTTGAGATAACAAGATTTTCATTTGCGTGCATAACAAAGTGACACAGGTGCAGTGTGATGACTCTTATTATTACACAGCGCACACAGCAGGTCTTGCTGCCCACTGCAAACCGAATTTGTTCTGCTATTTTTGTTCACCACATGAGCATAAAGCTCACTGCTTTTTTCCCCTCACTTTTCAAACACCTGTACAAACTGACAGTCTTTCCGCTGCGACATAAATTATTCTTAGTTTTTCTATGGAGGGAACCACGTCAAAATGATTTGTTCTGTCCTTTGTCAGACAGGAGGCTTAGCTCCGCTTACTTCACCCACAAGATATTGTCCAAAACACTCACACCTGCACACACACGTGCATGCACGCACATCACTGTTGTCCAATTTTTACAATTAACACTGTCAATCCTGTTTCTTTTTTTCATAGCACACAGCTTTTGCACACTCATTACTGCGATAACAGAAAACCATAGCAACACTGTCCATTGTCAGCGTGAAAGAGGAAAAAGGTCTCCACTTGTCCGTTGCACTGAAAAACAGCTTAAAAATGTAAATGAGGGATTATTGAAATTCTCACATTCTCAGACAGTAGAGCATCAGCACAAGCAACGCGCAAGATACAGCCAGGCTCTCATCTACAGGCAAGACCAAGAGGACAGACAGAGAGAGAGAGAGAAACAGAGAGATAACACACAGATATGACCACCAATTCATACTTCGACATGGCCCCAGGACTGCAGAAACCTGTGAGATAGCAGAGGTGGAGAGCCCCTCTGGGGTGTTCACTGTATGGTAAATGAACTGCTAAGACACATTTGAAGTGATGCAAAATGGAGTGATTTATTGGGTCAGCTCCACTGAGGTGTGCTACATTCCCGACACACCTCTATCACTGACAGGGATTAGCAGGGGCCTTTTTCTTGGGCATATGCTCATCTTTAAAGGAGATAACACTGGTTGGAATTCAAGGCCTTGTTCTAGCAGCGATGGAGAAGCCACGAGTGCTGTGTCCATGTCGATGATGGTTTGAAAAGCAAGGAAGAGCTATTTGTTCCAGGCAGTCATGGTGCAAATGAGAAAGAAGAAGAAGAAGCAGGGAAGAGAAACTCATGATGGCTCTTCTGCACAGAGAAACTGTATTCAGGGTAGAAGGGATAAAGAAAGGGAGGGGAGAGTGGTAAAAACTGCAACATGCTTGGCACTCGTGCTGTTTTTCTTCTGCTGAAAAGCTGCTCTTGGGTGGTGCCTCCTCTGCCAGGGACAGAACGAAAGCAGGAAGAAAATAACTGGGAGTGACATTTAGTCCTCCTTAGGTCGCATTGTGCAGCACCATGCATGTTGCCAAGGGGGAAGAAGAGAAGCTGCCGAGGGGAGGTCGATCGAATCTCACCCTCCATCACAACTCTCGCCGGCTGATGGTCCACGGGAAGAAAGATAGGAAGGTGACTGGCCCACACTGGTGGGGTTAAATAGTCCAGCGCCTCTTCTTTAGACAAAAGAAAATGGGTTAGAGAGGAGGAGGGGAGTGGGAGGAAAGGGAGTGGAGGGTTTGATTGACATGAAGTAGTAAAGTGAGTGAGGAGAACAGAGGGAGAGAGAGAGAGAGAATTTTTTAAAAAGGAACCAACCAATGGATTAGGACACCTCTGACCATGCTACATTCCTGGAAAGTAAAGAGGAACATTATGCAGCAAAGAGGATTACACTTGTGGGAATTGGACATGAGCTGAGTATCAGGAAAAAAAAAGGGCACATGGGAGAAACAGCAAAAAGTGGTTTTGCATCTCCTGTCCTCCTGCCCGCTCGTCTCTTCTGCATTCCCTTTTTGTCACAAGGGTGAAATAGGATCTGAGAGAATTACAGTATCGCACAGATTCAGAGGATCCCTTCTCAATTTCTGCCCGGAGTTTCAAAAGTAGGCAGGAGTTACATTTAAAGAGACAAATCACTGTTTGACTGCAAATGCTTCAGCCTCAGGAATTTCAGCCCCTCCCCTTCCTGCCTAACCATCTATCATTCAAGCAACCTTTCCTCCGGCACTGGGCTAACAACAGCTATTGTTAAGTGACAAGAAGATGATACAACTAGCTCCGACTGTTTCTGCATGCTCCATATCATCCGAGCATTTTTCGACCGAGGAATACAAAAATCTAAACTGAGAGGTTACGCAAGCAGCCGCACTGCCAACTCTGCTTAAGACGGAAGCATTTGTAGCTGAACTTTTCTGTAAATAGACACGATGAACGGGCACTGGAAGAAGAAACAAACCTTCACTATGAAAACAATCTGTTTTCAGTTTGTCTTCATTTATAGACAAATGGCATGCAGCTGTTTTTATTGGAACTAGAGATGTAGAGATATATTATTACTGATAGTAATCATTAGATAAGTTTATGGAGAATACATCTCTAATAAGGCTGTAACTATGTGCTGGACAGGAACACAGTGGGTGGGTCCAGTCATAAAATGGGGAAAAACAAGAAGAATAAACCCACGAACAATTTAGCTACTGAGCTGCCACCTCAGGGTGTAGGTGCCTGTACTGCACCCACTGGCCACATTTTTAGGTACAACTTCCTAGTACTGAGTTGGATGACCTGTTGCTTTCTGACATTCAAAAAGGTGCTGCAAACATCAGGTTAACATGATAGCATCACACAGTTGCTGCATATTTGTCGGCTGCGCATTCACGATGTGAATCTCCTGTTCACATAACAAAAGCACTGTACTGAATTGAGAGTTGGTGACAGTGGAGGTCATTCGAGTACAGGCAACTCATTGTCATGTTCAAGAAACCAATTTGAGATGCTTTGAGTTTTGTGACAGATCATTATGGTGTACCCATCTAGTGATGCTGGGAAATAGGTATCAGCAGATGGGTACACTGCGGTCATAAAGGGATGGACGCAGTCAGGAACAATACTCAGGTAGGCTAAGGATCACGGTGTAACAAGAAAATATCCCTCAGGCCATTACGCCCACAGCCTGAACTATTGATACAGCGCGGGACCCATGCTTTCATGTTCTTTACGGCACATGCTGACCCAATTATCTAAATGTCTCAGCAGAAATCAAGACTTTTGAGACCAAGCAATGTTTTTCAGTCTTCTCATGTCCAAATTTGGTGAGCCTGCATGAACTGTACCCTCCGTTCCAAACCTTTAGCTGAGTGGCTTCTGCTGCTGTAGCTCATTTGCTACAGGGTTCAGTGTGTTTATGTTCAAAGATGCTCTTCTCTTCTGTCTTGCTTTCCCATTCTGATCCTCGCTTTGAACTCCAGCAGTTATCGCAGGGGCGTAACTTCCAGGGGGGTTATGCCCCCCCCCAATAATCAGACCCAACCAATATAACCCCCCAATAAAATTATGAATGATCTTAAATAAAGAGGCTGTTGATTTTCTTTGCTCGTTTCAAGTATTACCAGCAAAATAGTTGCATGTTTACTAATCTGGGAATTTACCCAGATTTATTTATTTATTTAGACAGAGATCTTGACCCCCCCCCGATGTTCAGCACAAAGTTACGCCAATGAGTTATCGTGGCCATGTCTGCATACCTACCTAAATGAACCATGTGATTAGCTGATGAGATATTTGCATTAGCTGGCAGTTGAACAGGTGTACCTAAAGTTGATGGTGAGTGGAAAAAGTTCAACTTAGTGGGAGAATCAGTGGATTTACCTGAAAAGTACCAGAAAAAAAGTATTTCTGCAAATGTTATTAAGTAAATGAAAATATCCATAAAGACTCTGGAGGTCGATCTGATCAGTGAGCGATCCTTTAGCAGCCACTGTGATTTCAAGGCTCATTCTCTGCTGTCTCTGTGTGATAACTTTCTTCCATTCTCCATGCGCTGTTAATTGTAATAGGACAGTTCTGCAAGCCACCATCTGGCTGCTTTATTGTGTGATGTGATATCATGTCTTCAATCATATGTGTTCAACCTGTGTTGCATCATTCTTAATGGAACAATATCTTTATCATTACAATGAATATCAGAAGGAAATCTTAGCAGGGGGATGATTTCTAATCACATATACTTCAAACTCACAGGAGTTAACTCAGGTCAAACATTACTTCTTGCCTCTTTGGTGACCTTAAAGAGAACACAGATAAAAGGAATCTGGAGTAATAGCCAGACAACTGAGTGTAAATACACAGTATGATGACATGCATGCAATACTTTAAATACTTGCAGCTGTTTGGCTGCTAATAGCAGACAGCCAGAAAGACAAACAGTGACAGAGAGGGATCGGTTTCTAAACCAACAGCCCTGAAGTATCTGTCTACACCTACACTGAATTAAATTCGCATGGAGATTAGTCAAAGTGTTCATGCTCTTTTCTGCGGCTTTGCCAAGATAAAGCAGTGAGAGATCCAGATAATAGCTAATATTCTGAAAACAGATCTAGAAGTAAACTGTATACATGCTGCAGCAGCAGTATTAGGCTATCACACTTAAAGTGGTATTAATTACGTATCTGGCTGACAGACGAGGAGCATCTGGAAGCATCTCCGCAGCTGTATTCCTTCTGATGTCTGAGACATGGATCCTCCAGCAAAATCTTTTAATAGTGTCTTAACAGCAGGTCAACTACACCTAATTAAATCCACCTGCATGGAATAATCATCTTATTAAAATGATTGGATCAGCAGGGGGAGTTTGCTGCCAAACTGTTAAACAGATTATCCTTATAATGAGTTTATTTGTGCAGCGACAGCATGCTCATCTATCACTACGCTGAATGACAGCAACGATTCTCATCAGCACCGAGCGTGAGGCGCGTTCTCAAAACGATTCTGTTTGGATTCTCAGAGAGTCAAGTTAATGGTGAAAAATAATCACATTCATTTAAATTATATCCCGTTCAGATCGTGGGATATTTTCTGTATAGGAGCTGCGACGAGAGTTAAGGCCAAAGAATTTGGTAGTAAAAACCCCCCCAAAAACAAACAAGATATATAAAAATATAAAAATATTGGACATGTGAAAATACGGCAGCTGCTGTGATCGTGTTTACTGTAAACAATGACTGTCTGTGGTTTGCTTTTGCTCCACACAAACAGTGTTTCTAAGGTGTTCAACACTCTTGTTAATCAATCCGAGCCTCCAGGGTGGCAAACTCATCCGCACATCCCACTTAAAATAAATTTGTGTATTCACCACTGATGTCCACACTTGTGCACATTTTCCTGTTGTAATCTCTTTTTTAAAAATAAAATAGTAGCTCCTATCATTTGCAGTCAGTGAATTTTTGTTGGTGTGATAAGGTGAGGTAATGACCTTTTTAAGGGACACAAACTAGGAAACTGCTGGACAAAAGTTTAAAAAGTCGCTCAATTTTCTAAGTGTTAAATTTGTCTCTTTAAAATGTTATCAGCGATTTGCAGACAGATAAATATAGATAAATGTTCACCTCCTTTTAGAAGCACAAGCAGGGCATAAAATTGAGTTATTCAAATATAGGTACTTAAGCCGAGTATTTAGCCTCTTAACGAGTTTGACCACCGGCTGCACTTATCGTGCAACTCCCCAGGAGACGCCGTTTTCCTCAAAACAAATTTACAGATTATAATCTGATTTAAAAGCTCTCGGGGAGACTGCTTGACCTTTAGCAACATCGAGGTCAGAGAAGCAGCTCGGGGCTCTTATTTCTTTCCTCCAGTTGTCTCCTCGAGATAAATACTGCACTCCAGAGGGACAGGATATTAGAATGCTTCAAAACACTGGCCACCTGGCACATCAATAGTACACCTCAAATCAATGTTTGACCGACGCTGCATTTAAATGAGAAAATCTAATCTCCGGTCCCTGAATAATTAAATTGGTTTCCATAGCATGGGGCAGCGCGGCAGAGAATGCGGGGTTATCAGCACCTACGCAGGCTGAAAGGTCAAGTCTGCCACTCAGAGCTAAGTAAAACGTCACGAGCTTATTGGAAAAATGGGAGTTCGGCAGACGCTTGAAAGTACAGTTTCATCTTGAAAGGTCTCGGAATCGCTTTTGTCAGATAAGTCTGTCTGAATGGTTGGCAGCGAAGTCTGCCTCGCTTGGATACCGTATCCTTTTACTTTCCTCCTCTTTGTTGCAGATTGAGACAAAGTAGACCCGTCTGGCCCAGGCAGACAGGAGCCACCTATAGCCCTGAAATGCAGGATGAGTCATTTGGAACATTCCGGAAAGGATTTCAACACCCCCACCCCCCTCCCTCCCCCTTGTTTTTAATTACACACTATCCTATTCCCGTCTCAGGGCGTGAATTCCACAAGTATTTTCAAGCTGCTGGGATGCAGGTCAAGCTAACTGGGGAAGCTTTAATGCTTTTCAACGTGCCCAAAGTGTAAAGGCACAAAAACTCCAGACCTCCCCCACCCCCGCCCACTCTCATCCACCGACCAGCACACACACACGCAAACAAACAAACGCCTTCAAATAGCATTGGTTGCACTCAGTCGGTCCAAGTTATCTCAGGTCAGTAATTGAGATGTTATCTTCACAGGAGAGGATGCACTCCAGGGATCATTCAACACAGCTTCACCACTCATTTCCATTTGAGCTGAATCAGCCCCCGCGGTCCACCTCCTGCCCTGTGATTAAAGCACCTCACTATTGTCAGCTGATGCAAACCAGCTTCCGCTCCTGTGGCAGCTTTACAGCGCTGATGTTCTACTGTGGAGATTTGGCTGCAATAAACAGTGATTACGCTGACATCACTCAAGGCAGAGGTTCTCCTTCACTTAGTTTTCTTTAGGAAAGATGCGCACGTCAGCAGGCCCGTTGCTTAGTGGGTGGGGACAATATTTCCCGACTCTCCCTGCTTTCTTTGTGGTTTATCTTTCTATTTCAGTGCACTGCGAGGAACAGATAAGTCACGTCAAATGGCAAAACAATATCACGGTCAGAGTTACGAAAGCGGCTGCAAGCTTCGGTCGATAGCTCACCTTGATTGCAGGTTTTCCCAGTGAAACCAGGATGGCACTTGCACTTATTGGGTCCCACGCAGTCTCCATGCTTACAGCCAGGCTGGCACACAGCTGGTTAAAGGGGGATTCAGAAGGGAAGAGACAGATCAGCGCAGCGCCCTGGAAGACTACGTGTACCAGATCAGGATGACAAAGCACTTAATCCTACTGCTTTTTGACTTCCACAACCCCTTGGCTGTAAATTTACTCCCAAGTTACAGCAAAAAGACAGCGCGATGCCTCATTCATATAGGAAATGTGTGTGTTTCTCCTTGTGTGACAGTCATATTATCATTGACTAATGATAGTGGAAAAGCCATTTTCAGCTAACCACATAGTAGTTGTTTTTTTACTTTGCACAGTGCAGGATTCGGGAGAAGTTTTATTGTCCTTGCTGATATTAAATTATTTCCCACTGTAGAAAATAAATGAGACGTTTGACCTTTTTTACACCCGGCAAAATTTAGATTCTCGTGGCTTTAAAATGCAGCGCTGATATTTACTCTGGCATGCCGCCAACAAGGATTACCTAGGTGAATAATATTTCCCTCTTAGAGCGAAACTGAAACAATTAAGCACCAAAATAGCAGATTATAATTAGTTTCTCATTAAAGAGATCCTACATAGTGCGTGGATAGTTGATACTTTGATTGTGTACAGAGACGTGGAATTAGAGCTTCCCTGGCTCTGTTCTGTCTCAGTGAGCTGGAGGCTTGCCCTGCTTATCTTACTGCGCTTGCTGCAGCTTGCTGCTAAGCACTTCTGATACACCGAGTGTTACTAATTTTCATTAAAAGCTTCATTAATTATGTCATAATACAATACCATCAGAGGACTTAATTACCAGTGTGGCAGAAGAAGAAGTACACCTGAGTCTGTGAGTGTGCGTGTTTAGGGAGCGAGAGAGATGTTCTTTTGGATAGTATTCATCCCACCAGCCAGTCTGTTGTTTATCTGGAAGGATGTGATGGTATACTGAGCTTATTTGTGCTGATAAAGATGCAGGGCATGCTTGTTTTGGTGATGTCCTGCATACAGCACGGCAACCCCGCACTGAATCCAGCAAATAACCTGCATCAAGGAGGATTTACCTCTCGCCTTAACCAGTCCGATCTCTGACAGTTTTAGCTCAAACACAGCTTAACTGATTTCAGTTTGGTTGAATGGTCGGACAAAAGACCAAAGACGTCACATATATTTGTTTATGTATGTGTTTCTTCGGGTATCAGTGAGTATGTTTTTAAAAACAATCACAGAAGAAAGTGATCCCGAAATTCAGGTTTTGATAAAAATAAATTCCATGATAAATCTGGAATTTCCAAAGCTCAGTGGGAGACTGAAATACTTGTAGCTGTCTGTGATATTACAAGTTAAAAAAACTGGCAGATCAGCTGAATTTAGGTTAGCCTGTGCCACCATGCTGTGTTTCCTCTTTAAAATATAATGGAATAAAGTCCAGTGACTCTGGGTATTTGTATGTATATTTTAACATAAAATATCTTTTGATTGAAAATATCTAACTGCTCTCTGTTTCAAATGAGATAAATATAACTTCAGCGCACCGACTGACGCCTGATACAAACGTAGAAATGGTTGAAGACTCTCTCTAAGTGAAATCCATATGCTAAGAATTCAGTTACATCTTTCAGAATTTGCAGCTAACCTGGCCTATTCATAAAAAACAGTAACTTTAGTTACTCAGGTGCAGGAATTCAAAGAGAACAAGGTAATGATATGATTCCTTTAACTGATCTAGATAACTACTCACGACTCATTCCACTTTATTAGGCTCCGTGACTGAACAGAATGAAAAGCAATGTAAGCCAACTTTGAGCTTGTGAAATGAGTCGGGTTGTTAACACACCGAGCAGTCAAAGTTCACATTTACAAATTAAAAGTGGCCCATTCTTGTTGGAGGACATGAAACGTGCTGCGCTCTTCCGGAAGCAGAAGTTTGTTAGACCCCGGTCTGGTCGGCGGATTAAAGGAAAGCAGCTACTGATGTCTTCGTTAGAGAGCAGCCAAGTGAATGCTCTGTGTTGTTACTCCCCTCCAAGGAGGAGGACTTGATTGGAAAGATCAGAGGCAACCATCAACAGGCTTTGCCTTTGAGGGTATTTTTAAGCCTCTGGCCTGGCAGAGAGATCAGGATAATGACCGGTGTTCATTAGCCACAGCAAAGGACAGGGAGCACTAAAAATGGCCCCACCAGCTGGAAGGCCAAACATAGTGAGTGTAATCCTCGTTCTTTGAACGCCATCAAAACACGTCAAGTGATGACACACTTTCACTTTGGTTTACATCAGCCATTCCTCCGGACTCAAGAGAATTGCTACTGATCCTTGTGTGGACTGTTTATGGCGAATAAGCCTCGTGTTAGTGTAACACATCGGTTCATCAACCTAACGTGGAAGTAATTACTAGCAAGTAAGGGATAACTTGCGGCTTGTTTCTTTTTGATTAATGACATATAAAGCCAACTGAGATCAGGAAAGGCAATTCTGAAAATTGAGACGCTACAAATAAGGAATATTTGTAATTTTAATTTTGTATATGATCAAACTCTATCCGTTTGCCTAATAAGTTCACCGTTCCTATAAGGAGCATCTCACTCCGCTCAACCTTGGGATAATTGACTAGGCGATGCTGTGGTGAGAATCCTATTTATTAGGGAAATATAAACCCATCCAAAGTTCTTACACTGACAAGTTGCGGCACATGTTCTGTTAATAACGCTGCATCATAAATGCTTGAAGAGCCCTATTACTGATATCAAATTTAAGAAACATTATGGATTTAAGCTTTAAGGGGCTCATTAGTATTCCAATGGATTGACCAGAGGGGTGTTTGAATATTAAAAAGTTACCAAAGAACTTGGGAAAAATTCCTGTTAGACACTGGGTTCAGCTGACACAGGGTCTGCAGAGTGCAAGCAGTGTGCGCAGAACTGAGGCCAGAGGGAAGGAGATGGTTACTGCCAAGGGGTGGAGAGGTGTTACTGGTTTTGGAAGCGGGTGTGGGCTTGGCTCTATAAATAAGTGAGTGAGCACAGGATTCAGAGGATGTGCCTCCAGCAGTACATGTCAAGCAAGATTATTTCAAGAAACATGTGGAGCTAACCTTGGGGCAGGCACCTTATCCCGACTACCCTGTGAGTTAAGGCGAAGAGAGCTGCAAAACAAATAGCCAAATAAACAAGATTGCAGGCATTGTTTAGTCTCTGGGGGAGCAAAAAAAAGGAAAACAAACAAACAAACAAACAAGCAAACAAACAGACATGATGTTAGAGGGCACAGTCTGGTCATTGGACAAGCAAACATTCCTGGAACACGCACACGGTCTGGAATCACACATATGACTTGTTGCCTCTGGGGACGTTTGGAATACATGATTAATAAAAGAATAACTAGAAAAACGAGTAAATGTCCTATTATTAAAGGAGGACATCGCTCTTATTTAAAGCGTTGAAGGTGGAAGCAGTGTTCCTTAACATGATGTGAAACAGCGAAATTATGGCTCCAAATGAAAAATACAAGACTGCACTGCAAAGATTATTCATTTTAAGTTCCTTTAAATCACTCAAGTGAACATGGTTCGCCTTCACCTCTAACAAGCAAACCCTTCTGCCTCGCTTTCACCTCAAACGGGCGAAAAGATGTATTTTTTTTTTAGCGGAGCCTTTACAGCCCGGCGATAATGAAAACAGCGAAGCAGACAAGGAAGCCACACAGACAACCCCGTTAAACGATCTTACTTAAACTGAGGTATCACTTTTCTCCTTTCACCGCTCGCTTGTTAGCTCACATTACCAATTCTAGGCTCCTGCCTTAATCCTGCGCGCACCATTTGAAGAAACAAAGACTGCACTCAATCAAACAAAATCCCGGCCTCAGTGAATCTGAAAACCCCGCAAGGACCTCGGAGGAAATTATAATGTGTGATCTATTTAATATGGAGATGATATTCAACCCACGCCTTTAAAATGCAGAGAAAATCAGAACACGTCTTCGAGCCTGGGAATTTCGTAGCGCTCGCAGGACTATCCGAGTTAATATAAAAAATGTTAGCACTTAATAATAAGCCCTGTGTAATTACGGTGCAATTTTCACAACAATTACCGTGTAATTTTACAGAAATCAAGGTGTAATTTTTTTCCTCCTAAAAAATACATGAGGGCCTGGCAACTGGAAGCTTTAAAGGAACGAAGAAACAAATTATTTTTTAAGTTATGGGCACTTTCTGGGGATTGTAAAAGAAAGGAAACAGAAATTATATCTGAATACGTTTTTATTTAATGAAGACTTTAATGGCATTTAGTGGTAAGTGAGAAATTAACTAGTATTATTTGGAGTGTGTGGTGTATTACAGTATCCCAGCCTCCATTTACTATGATATTTACCTTTTAACACTTTAACAGTGTTTTTTGAGTTGTTTTTTTCTTATCCACATATTAAGGGGCCTAATTTCAATATGACTGTAGATTCGAGCCCTGATAATATTATCAAGGCGAGCCAAGTGTGCTTATATTAGTACAGCACAGCTCTGCAAATACCCATCTTTATTCTCAATGACACATGTTCTCAGTGTAGGGTTAAGGATTCCTTTTGTATAAGAAACCTCTATTATGAACTATGGATTGAGAGTTTGAAGGGTCAAGCAAGCCATTGCCGGGTTGCAGTTTGAGAAGGCTTTCAGAGTGACCACAGCAGGTACTAAAACTCAGGTTTTAGCCTTTTCACAATTTCTCCTTTACATCTTTTTCTTACAAGTATGAGGCTTTGGAGAAGATCCAAATTACTGAAAAAAAGGAGATTATCCATGCAAATGTTCCTGTCTGTGCATTACATTTATGTGACTAATGATAACATTTGGCTAGGGTGTGATTATGTTCAGGCAATTAAATCATTTGATCAGTGAAAATGGAGTTTAGGTAGGGCACAGACCTCTGTCTGCTCTGTCCAGCCACTCAGATTTTACGCCCTCGTGGCTCATTCCCGCTGAATGCTTTAGCTGTCATGCAAAAATCATCGACAAAGAACTTCTTGAGCCAGTGAGACGGTTCCCATTGAACGCTTACAGACTGGGATGTGAAAATCTAGACACTGGGTGTATCGAAGCTGAACTCTCCATATTGATGAGTTTTTCGCACTGCGAAAGATGAGAGCTGGACTTTTATTTGTCTCATTCTTCCTGACACTGGCAATGACTTCCTGCCCTGACCTTGAATCCTAGCACTTGCATGAGCACGCAGAATTGTCCAGTACAAACTTCCCTCAAACAAATATAATAATGATGTTTTTTAACCATGAATATTTAAGTTTTAATGGAATTAGATTCGTATTTGATACAGATGCGAATCACCTGATAAAATCTTTGATGAATAACCGAAGACCGTGACTGACTGAGAGGACCGTGTGGTTACTGACGCAGCCGGGATCAACTTGTTAAAAAATGGCTTTTAAGCGTCGTCCTCAGTGAAACAGAAAGGGAGGCACTTTCATGTGACCAAAGTGAAATGCATTTCACTGGAAATGCAAATGTTCGAATGCTCACAGTGGCAGTGAAATGTTCGCGATGGCAGCTGGTTGGAATAAGTAGCTTTAAGTGTGGCTTTGCCTGCTGGATGGCCTGTCAGAACATTATGAGTGCAGCCTCAGTCTGCTATAAATCTAAAGCTCATCTCTCTCACACATGCCCCATCTGCCTGATTTTCTCACTTGTCTTCCCATCCTAACGTCTCACCTCCACTACAAGAGCAATCACCTCCAACTCCTTCCCCTTAAATCATTTCCTCTACACCCCAGGATTTTTACTTTTACTCCTTTTTCTCTTCTTTCCCGCACTTGGATCTAAGAGCTAAGAAAAAAAAGTCAGGGTTGATCCATTAAGTTTCTCATTCTTTGAGAGAAGTCGCGCAAACCGGCTGCTGAGCTCTGAGTCTGAAAAGCCACAATCCGATAGCTCCAGCCTAATCTCTTCCATCTCCACTAAAATTTACCAAGACCTGAAATCTGTGACGACTGCAACCCGTCACACACATGCAGAAAAAGGTACGCTCACATGCACACATCCATGATTACCCACAATTTCTTTCTGAAACCTTCCGCCTCCCTCCTCTTAGGTTTAAATCAGCACCTTACTGACTTGATGGAATGCTGATTGTAGTCTCAAGTAAATGGATTTGAGCTGTGCCCACTCAGGAGCATTGAAAGCATTAAGGCGAGCACTCACCGAGTGATTTAACTCACGGAACAGATACGGTTTTGTTGGGAAGGGAAAGTGGTAAAGCAGCAGCTTCATATGGTGGTTAAGTTCAAAATTAGCTGATATTTTTGGCCGAACATGGAACATGTGGGATTCCAGAGCAACAAAGAAGACATGCTCACACACTGCTGTTTGGCTGGTCAAGTAACCGATGCAAACAGGACTTTAATGTGACGTAACTGGTTTATTTAGGGTTTGAAGCTTCCGTGCTTCTGTAGTTATCTTCATATTCTTTACATCCTCAGCAAAAACAAATATCTATTTTTTAAATGGGAAGCTGTAAAGGCAGAGAGCCCAGTACAAATGCACTGGGAAGTACTGGGCACTGAGATGGCTCACTCCTGCCAGGATTACTGCTGAATTTGGCTCTGTGTTCAAACAAATACATTTGAAACAGTGGTGATTTTTCCTGTATCATTCCAGCACAGATTTTCTAGTTCAAGTGTCAAGGCCTTGGGAAAAGGTAGGAGGTGTTTTTGAACAAGGTCAGCTACAGTATAAAAACTATTTCAAATTCCAGCCGTGAAATCAAACCCCCTCAAGCTGCGAGTTTAGTTCCGTCCTCTAAACGATTATCATGACTTGCTCCAAGTGTTTATGTAAGAGCAACATTATCATATTTTGTTACTAATAGACGCAAAGAAAGAGGTGGATAAAAGAAAAGACCTTAGGTTAATCTGCCTAGGCTGCAAAGGAATACAAAAACAGTGCATTGATGAACTCAAGGAACACTGTTCGTGTTCTTTAGAACAAAAACTCTTTTACATGTAATGGGAGTGAAAAACAGCTGCTAAACTCAAAGGCTTAAAAATCTTTCAGATTAGCAATAATGGACCTTTGGACTCAACAAACAGCGTGTGGCATATTTTCTATTAAACAAACCAAAAAAAACACAAAATACAGTGAATAAAATTAGCATGGCATGGTGAGCTTCAACAAATGAGAAAACACATCAAAATATGGTAATTTAAGCAATGAGAAACACAAAATGAGTCAACTGTTGAGTGAATTAAACATTATTTCAAAAAGCAATAAATATGTGCCCAGTTAGAAACATCTCTTGGCCCTTTTCCACAGCAGGAACTTAACAATCTCAAGTTGTGTGAGGTCCTGCCTTTCCTTTCCACTTTATTTTACAAACATTGTAATGTTATTCTTTATTTGAAAATAAGGCATAATTTTGAAATATTATATGCCAATAAAAAGACAGCAATATATAAAAGAATTATGTTTATTTTCTTTCATTTTATACACAACCAAATGAAAATCAGGCTAAGTCTTTTAAATAAATATGTGTATGTGTGTGTGTAGGGGGGGGGGACCTAAACATATATTGAATATCAAAAATAAAAACTTGCCTTATGTTTGTTGTAATGTTGATTTAGTGTTTGTATCGCATCCGGTTCATTTCCAAAATTCGGATGAGATTAGAGAAATAAAAGCTTAGCTAGCAGCTAACATTGTAGCAAATACTGACATTGTTTCTTGCTAACATGGGTTTTCTTAGTTGAGAAGACTGTTGCTGCTAGGAATTCACACCCTGATATATTTAGATTTGTTTTTAAATGACAACGAGCTGATTTAAGGCAGATCCAATCAGTTTAGTTTTATGACATCTCCAGCACCACACAGGTTGCTAGTGGTGCAGCTAACTTAGCTTAGAGGAAGCTAACAGCAAAGTGTGAAATATTTCGAGGCATTTCACAACAACAGTTTTTATTTATATTTATTTATTTGTATATATTTGCATTGGTTTTTAATTTACTAGCAAACTACGATCGAGTAAGTTGATATGACTGAGAAGCTCAGATGAAGATGTTTTCTTTCCCTGACTTGCTCTCTCTGCGGTTATGTTCAGCAGAATGCGTCTTTAGAAGCCTTTGCTGAACGTATGGAGACGTAACATTTTGTTATTTCACTTCATCTGACTTTTGTAAGCTGAGCGTTGCCTGAAAAATTACTATTCTTCCTGACAGCTTATTAATTTATCATTATTAACTCAGCAGTGGCTTAAGCCAAGGTGACTGCATTGGATGAGAGCTGGAAGTAGCTGGATCGGTGCCTCCCTGATCACCGCTCACATATCTGTAACCAAAAACGTTAGTGTAGTTTCTCATAAAGCTCGACAACAGAAGGAAACCAAGGCCAGACAACTATGTCGCACAATTTCCGTTAGTATCATGTGATACATACTGGAAACAAAATGGATTTTCTCCCAATATAGAGATCCTTGGTGTTATCAGAATTTGATCCATTTGGTCATTAATTTGGGGGAATTCCAGAAGACCTGTATGCTCAAATTACCATTCAAATGGGCCAACACAAAGCTAGTGTGCAACCTCTCAGTAGTTCAGCTCAGCTCAGCAGAATCAGCCATATGTACATGCTGTATAGGCACCAATAATGTGAAAGCACGAAAAAGGCTGGACATAACATGAATGTAAACAGTAAGCTTTTGTAGTAATTAACGGGCAGCGTATTCATGTTAATACATGGATGAAATTGCTCCAGTTAGTTAAGAAACATCTAGAATCTTTAAAGATCATCATTAACACATTGTACCTCATGGGTTTCATCTCCAGGGCTTGAGCGTATACTTCTTCGTAATGGCCCATGTGAGGTCTTTTGCCCTGGCTTTTTGCTTATCTAAACTAGCCAGCTGTTGGCTTAGCACACACACAGGATGAGAGCGCTATTGATTTTCTCTTGGCAAGGAAGCGAATAAGCATACCCACTTCTCTAACCTTTTTAATAGCCGCTTGGTAAATTCTTGCCGTGGAAAAGGCCTGTTGATGTGTTACCCCTTTTCTTTTATTAAATGTCCACAGCAAAGCAGCAGGCGTACCATCAGAGCCACCAAGCCATGCAAAGGGTCTGATATTTGTGAGGCACCCAGCAAGTGTCTAAAATCCACTGGTATATTCACACATCCCTCAGTAGCATGGAGTAAATATGTTGATAATGTGAGATGAAGCATTCAGTGTTACACAATGACAGGACACATCCTCTGAATCCTGATGAGTCAAGTTATGTGCACCTGACAACACCATGGATTATGTTAACATCACTGTTTGTTTGGTTTTTTTTACTTGTTCATGCACTGCCGGCAAGCTTATGTTTGCACACTTGTAATCTATAATCAATCTCCTATCTCCCCTTTGAATGTGTCCACCTGCAGCTATAGTCTCGCTCATTAAGGCCACCCGCAGTGTGAATGTAAACCTCTGCCGCTCCACCAGCGATCATCATCAATCTTTACTCAAAGATTGTTCCAGGTGCAATGCTCCATTAGCTGCATGTGTTTCCGTTGAGACAATCTGCATGTGTATGTGTGTCTGCGCGTTTCCCCGAGCCTTTGCAGTATATCCACAGTTTAACAGCATCTATGACCTCTCCCTCCTCCCTCTAGCTTGAAACCCCGCAACCTTGTTAGCTCCCGTTTTGCTCCCCACCCTCCGAGCAGCACCAGCAGCGGGCACGGTGGCACTCACGCTGGCAGTGACCCCAGGAGCGACGAGTCCATCCCCAGCAGCAGTCCACACGGGCCCCATATCGACACAGGCCATTGGATGATGCCATCTGCCGTGGCCACCTGTGAGTGGATAACATAATAGGTTCACAGCCAATTAAAACACCTTAATGAAAAGCCTTTTTATATTGTTTGGAAGGGGAAGGGTGTGTGATTCAGAGCTTTCATGAGTCATTTTCCTGCTGCAAAGAAAAAGAACCAGAAGATACATTTAAAGACTATTTAAATTTAAAAAAAGGCTTTTTAACCACTAGGTACAGTGAGCACTTATGGCAGTCATACTAATTGCAGGTACGGCAATGAAAATAGACACACACGAAACAAACGAGTACAGTTATGTTCACATCAGGTAGATTAAGCACTACTGCAAAATGCATGAATAATAACAAATAAAGAAAGCCGGGTCTTTCTTGATAGATTTTTTTCTAATGTTTAATTTCCTCATCTAAATGTAGAGCATGAAGATGGATAAGGTTTCTGAACAGATTTAAAACCCTTTATTATGATTTAAATTCATTAGGGCGAAAAATAAAACTGGCTTCGCTTGACTAATGTGGGGAGAAAAAAGTTTCAGTGCATAACAGCTCTTTGATTATGCATCAATCACAATCCTAAAACAGTCCACTTTAAGTGATGTCTATTTGTTTATTAATGTCAGAATGTGATGACAAATCTCATTTATTGAGGACTCCGGGGTGCTGTCTCTCAATTTCACTCCCTTTTTATAAAAATAAATCAGATACTCTGTTTGTGTAACACAAAGAAACAGCGGCAGCAAAAGAGTTACGTTTGAAAAGTGGTAAACAGAAAACATTTGCCACTTTGCTTCTCAAATATCTGAAGGGGGTGAAAGTGACAAGTGTCAGAAAGTCGAAGACTGACTTTTCACTGCTTCGCCATAGCAGATTATCTCCGAATCATGGAAACAAAACTGACAGCACATCAGTGTTGGTTTCTTTAATGTCAAACTGGAGACCTGTATTGAAAGCCTGCCAGGCCCGATTTGAATTTAGCCTTCAGTGCGTGCATCGCTACGCCGCTGACACGCACATCTGACAACACCACATTACTGCTGTGTTCACTTGGCTTTCGGGAGCTCCTGGAAAAGATTAGGGACTACGCGCTTCCGGTTGTCCTTGAAAATACAATATTTGCCTCCAAAATGGCAACTCCATGACACTGGAAGATGGTATTATCTCTGCTACACAGAGATGATAGGTAGGTATTGGTTCTTATACACATTCTAAAGTAGGTTATTTCCCCAAACACAACAGTTCCTCTATGAGAAATTAGAGCCGGATATTTTTGTTACACTCTGCTCCATTCTGTTCAGAGCAAGAAATAGCTTCTTGGCAGACCGCGTATGTGGATTACCTTTTTTATCTGTACGAGGGCCGACCACATATTTATGGCGAGAATAGAGTGAAGGAATGAGCCCATTTAAGGATACTGAAGAAAATCCAAGGCACATTCTTTAAGAGCCTGGCGCTCATATGCTACCTAAAATCTGAAACAATAATAAACGAATCAGTGGATAGGGAAGATTTGTTGCAGCTGACTGTTTTTTCCCTCTTTCTTCAAATAAAGATGACAATGTTTTTAACCAGTGGGACATTTTTATCGTCATTTATAGGAGGTGTGAAGCACATGAGGAGGTTTGCACAGATCACTGAGTAAATCCAATACAATAAGAAGGTTTTAATTGCACAGAAGAGCTGGAAAACGCTGTAATCCTGCACAAAACAAAGGAGAAGTTCACTTCCTTTACGTGCTTCACACAAAAGACACTTTCTTTTTGTCTCTCAATGAGAAAGTGAGGTTGTCGCTCAGTATTCAAGGCACATCCTCTGCTGCTTTCCCTGCCTGTTAGTGCCTCTATGCCAAGATGAGGAAATGCTAATGCTTGCCCCTGCTGCCAATCACCTCTTTGGAGAAAAAAAACAAAAAACAGACGGATGCTAAGTGAGAGTGGCAGATCCAGGGAAAATGTTTGTCTGCTGCCTGGTGAGCGGGAAGTCAGTCAGTGAAGCACACAGTATGGGTGAGGAAATGAGGAGGGGAAGGAAAAGGAAGCAAAACCAGAAGAGAGGAAACAAATGAAAAGAAATGCATGAAAGCAGTAAAAGAGGAAAGGAAAGAATAGGAACGGTCTGGACAGCAGCCACATTTCTCAACCTGCCTCCCCTTCCACACTAGAAGCTTGCTGCATAAAACAAATTAAAGATGCTTCTGCATGAGGCAAAAACCCTGCTCGTTGACACCTCTCAAAACATCTGACAACCTCCTTTGACATTTCAGTGATATTTGGATTTGGCGACTGGAGGCTGATTTCATCCTGATGTTTTGAAAGCTCTTGTTAATTGCTGCACAAGGCAATCACCACCTTAGAATATGGAGGCATCAAGTGGAAGGCATTTATGCTGCTTCGGCTGCACCTGTTCCCATATAACCTAATGGCCTCACATTCGTTTGCAGCCTGCAAAGTAATTATCACATCGAATGACTCCCGTGGATGTGCAGATTTAGTATCGTAACAGTTTTCATTTTTATTTCTGACAGTTTTATTACAAAAGCATATTTTCATGTTCACGTCATAATCTTCAGCACACACGCGTTGTGCCATGATGAAGATGACAAGAGCAAAAACTCGACATTTTTTAGATATACGGGGCTTTGTAAAACACACAATGATAAAGTCATTTTTAAATTTCAAATGGGAAAAGGGAGATTAAGGGCCAATCACTAGAGTAAAGGCTCAACCCCTCTGCTCTGTGCAGGGTCTGGCTAATGTGAATGTTGTAAATGATCCATAACTAGTTTTTGTTAACAGACAAGCTGCTGTAATTGGAGACGGAGCCAGAAGGTAATGAGTAAAAGGCGAGCTTCAGAAGTGTAACTGAGAGAAGATTAAGATGGCAGAAAGCAATGGCAATTTATTTATTTATTCACTGATAGAGATTGAGGAAATGTTTGTAACAGAATCTAGACAATAATGAAATGTGTTTAAAAGTATGTCCAGCTGTGTGTGGTGGCATAAATAATAATATGCACGTCTGATGGTCTGGTAAGCGACAAAGAGGAAGGTAACAAAAACAGCCACTGGACCTATCATATCAAACTTTTTATGGACCTTTATGATATATGTTGCAAGTATTTGAAGAGCATTGCTTTGACATCAGTCAGAAGCAGCTGGTCTGCCTATACACCTATATAACTGACTTATGTGACATCAGTGATGGCTATTCATGTGCTTTATATATCAAGATCAATGTAATAATTGGAGAAAAAAAAAACTAATAGTAGCAGTAGTATCTGCACATTTTTAACATGAAACTGGTTGAACTCTTACATTACATAAAGGAAAGTTGTTTTATTCTTGAGATTTTAATATTGGCACACAGTTAAATATAAATCCTAAAATATTCTTCATCCCTTTTCCCTACTAAAGAAACTGAATTTAGTAAGTCAACCATCAGTAATATCGTCACAAATATTCACAATGCTTGTATTGACTCTGGTGTAATCCTCTGAAATATTGCACAACATTTTCCTCTGCTACTCTTCACTGATCTTTTTTTTAAAAGATTGACAAGTTAGAGCTAAAAATAAAAGTGAAAAAGCTAAATACTACTGAAAAAACCTGTTAAAAATGTCCTCACGCTAAAATGTGGGATTCATACTTTAGTTACAAAAAGATTTGCATGCTACATGTAACACTGTAATTGATGAAATAACTGACTCTATAATCTCTATCATATCTGAAATGATCATGAGACATGATGGAGGAAATCTGAACAAAAACAGCTAACAATGGGTATTTTAAAACTGATTTTTTTTTTTAAAGAACATAATTTACATACACTATTTTAAAAATGTAAGAGATAGAAACAAAGAAATAAATTAAAACAAAAATAAACAAACACACATACGAGTAAGCTAACACATTATACTGAGCTTATTATATCTTCACACAGCGATCAGAAGTGATGCTGGAAGGTGCTTGAAGTCCTCAGCTGGGATCACAAAAATAAATGTGCTCCTTCACACCAGAGTCGAGCAAAATGCCAGAAATAATTTAAACATTGAAAATCTCCCAAACAGTTTTGACTATTTTATCTTCATAGGAGAAAATCTTTCTCAAGCTATTAATCCTCCTGAGGGCAACACTTGTAAGTAGAGCAGGGCGATATGACCAAAAATATTTATCACGATATACATTTGAAAATTTGCGATAACGATATAATTGACACTAGACAAAATGCTTTACAACTCCACAATTTTATTAGTGCAAAAAACCCATCAATGTATTTTCACTTAAACAAGCAGCTGTTTTTTATGTGCATTAAAGTTATGTAAAAATGTAACAGTGCAAATGCAAATTCCTTGCTGACAGTTTAACCAAAAGGCATTTCCAGTGGAAATTGGCCGACATATCCTCAGCATAAACGTGTATAATATCCACAAAACTTAAAAAGAGGTTATACACACACAATACAGTAACATCATGTTGAAGAGCAGTACGTATCACTCCGCGAGGCTCCTGCCTACGATAGCCGCAATGCTCCGACAATCCATCAAGCGGTGCGGGTTCGTAGCTTAGCAAAGTCGTACTGGAACATTTGACAGATTTTCGAGCACCGTGTACGACATAAAATCGTTTCGAGGTCAGTAAACACAACCAGAATTCATACATAAGGCACACGGGATTATAAGGGGCACTGTCGATTTTCAGAAAAATCAAAGGATTGATTTTAAGTGTGCCGTATTTTCCCAAAAACAGGGTAATAACGACGGCCCGCTAGCATGCTCTACCAAAAATAGTGCTTTGTTGTGTATCTGATGGACGAAAGCTAAACCAGTTCTACACCACTGAAGTTGCAGCATTTTTACAAACCAATTCTGGTTCATTCGTTTCATTCAACGATCTGCTTTTGACCTTCTCATTCTCCGTCGCCGCCATGCTTTTTCCGCCATGTGCGTATGAAAACAAAGGCACTGCGCATGCGGGTTTTACCCATATTCTATGGCGATATTTCATTTTCTTGTCGTTGCCCAACAATATA